AGATCTAACAGAACAAGGATAACATAATCACCAGAGTCATTTGCCTGGAGGATGTCATTAAAAACTCTTATTAAAGCAGACTCTGTGCTGTGGCGAGATTTAAAACCAGACTGGAAGACCTCCAAGACACCATGCTCATCCAGAAAAGACTTTAGCTGAACATGAACAACTTTCTCTAAAATCTTTGAAATAAAAGGAAGTTTGGAGATTGGCCTAAAATTGGCCAGCACACTGCAATCAAGGCCTGGTTTTTTAAGTAGAGGCTACACCACTGCATGTTTAAAACCTGGCGGAACAACACCAGAGGACAGACTGCTGTTTATGATAGCCAGAACAGACTGACCTATGCAGGGGAAAACCTCTTTAAACAGCCTGGGAGGGACAACATCACAGGGAGAACCAGCAGGCTTAATATGGCCAACCAGCTCTTCTAAAAGTGACAAAGACACAGGCTCAAACCTGTCAAGAACTGCCGAACAAGGAACAGGCACAGAGGGGTCGGATGCAGGAGCACAGATGAGAGACCTGGCAGTCGCAACCTTTTCAATAAAAAAGTACAGAAAATTATTGCACATTTCCACAGATGCCTCCAAGCTGGCAGGCTGTGGGGCGTTTAGAACAGTGTCGATACTTTTAAACAGCACACGTGGGTTATGGTGATTTACCTCTACCAAGTTTGCCAGATATTGTATTTTGCTCTGTTTAACAGTTTTCTGGTAGGTGATCAAGGAGTCCCTAAGGATTTGGAAAGAAACCTGCAGCTTGTCCTTCTTCCACCTTCGCTCAGCTTTGCGGCACTCTCGTCTGGCTGCGCGAGTTTCATCATTGAACCAGGGCTCCGATTTAGCCTTTGGCCGAACAGTTTTTAAAGGAGCCACAGAGTCCAGAATATTTTCACAGTAGGAATGAAACCAGGAGCTGAGCACCTCTGTGTTCGCAGAGGTAGGGCAGACACAGAGCTGTTCAAAAGCCACAGAGAAGCGACCGGCAGTGGAGGGGTTAATAATCCGGCGTCTCTGCGCAGGAGCGCCAGATTTAACCTCAGAGCAAGAAAGGTACACCTCAAACAATACAGGCCTGTGATCAGAAAATACATCATCACATATCACCAGGTTAGACACATGTAAACCATGATACAGTACGAGGTCCAGTAAATGCCCGTGCTCGTGTGTGGCACCCGACACACACTGCACCAAATTAAAAGAGTCAATAAGACTTACAAAGTCCTTCACCAACGGCTTTTCTGGACAACACAGGTGAATATTAAAATCCCCAAGAATAAGGACGCGATCATAGTTCGGCATAATTTCAGCCAGTAGACCAGAGAAGTCATTTAAAAACTCCTTATTGTATTTGGGGGGGCGATAAATGACCGCGCACAGCACCGGGTCAGACCGACCCACCTCAAATAAAGTCACCTCAAAGCTTGAAAAAGAGGATGATACTGTGCGCTGCTTGCATTTAAAACCATTCTTATATATCGTTGCTATTCCTCCACCACGACCCGACGTCCGCGGGGAGTTAAAGTAAGAGCAGTCGGGAGGTAAAAGTTCGGCTAGAGCGCTGGACTCACCCGCACCGATCCAAGTCTCTGTCACACAGAGGAAATCCAAGGCACGAGAGCTGAAGAAATCCCTCAGAATAAAAGTTTTATTCACCAGGGATCTGGCGTTTACCAAGCAGATCCTGGCGGGTGCTGGGGCCGGGGCCTGTAGTCCGGTGGGTCGGGGAGCCGGGCGCAGCGATCTGAGGAGCCGATGGTCCACCCCACGCTGTGACAGCCGAAGAGGGCGGGGTTTGGGTCCTTCCGCTGAGCCGATGACAGGTACTAGACAGAGGGGAAGTTAAGAGTGCGACTCAGTCCGGGTTACAATGCCAGGAGTCATCTTTATTTGTAGGGGAGTGTGTGACACCCACGAATGTGTGGTCACAAATGAAATGTTTTTTTTTTGTATAAACTCACTGCTGCATCAGGAGCAGCATGTGCCTTGGTGGGTACATCTTGCTGTACTTTCATTCCAGAAAATGATGCAGGCGGAGGAATCATTCAGTAGGCGATTATAAATCTGACTGCACTGAGGATGGCTGTGGATGGTGATCATGTGAATAAAGTGGACTGGCTAAGCTGGATGACGTCTGGTCCTTGGTATCATATCCTTTTCATATCCTTTTGAAATTCCTGACACCAGTTGTTACTATGTTACTATTGTAAGAAAGTTTCAATTGTTGTTTTATTTTGAAGGTCTACGCTGCCACCACCTTTGTTTTTCCGGTCTGGTCCAGTGTCAGAGGCAAGAGAAATCACTACCGAGGCTTGTTTAAAAGAGGTAATGAAAACTTCATTGAAATAAATAAAACAGCCCTATACCCACACACAACCTATAAACTATAAACCAAAACAAAGAAATACTAATTAAGAATTCGTCAAACAATGGATGACTTTCTAGGGAACTTATCTCGCCCAGCTGTCGACGACACTCCCACGTGGAGACTGAACACGGATTCCCCCTGCAGCTCTGGAAGTGTCCGCAGCAGTAACGGGCAGAGCCGACAGCTCAGCGGCTCCCATGCACGCCGGTACAGCTAAGCGTGCCAACGTGGCTCCAGTACAGGGACTCACTAACCCCCCTCTCTAACTCAGTTAGAGACACACTCTTGCAGTAACATGGTGAAGTGTATCTCAAGCTCGTGGAGCAGGCTGAAAACATGGACATTGCAGTCCAGCTGAGCCCATCATGATACACAACAATCGTTTTGCAGTATGTTAATAAATGTGACATTCTTACAGAAAATCAACAGATGCTGTAAGTAACTGATGTGAGAGAGATTTTCATACTGTAATAATGATATACAGGAGGGAAATGAAAGAAAAATTGTAAGTGTATGCTATCAAATGTGTATTTTATCATTATATAAGTATGTTTATCATCATTAACTGAAACTCACTTGGTGTGAATGCTTGCAGAGTCATATCTGTTTCTTTTAAATGAGCATAGGAAAGGAGAAGTATGGCCCTGCAGATGGGACTGATACTTTTCTGCTGAAGCCATGCAAAGAGATGAATGCTACAATTTCACTCACAGGTTGTTTTCCCAGCAGTGTGACATTGAACTGATAAGCAGGAACCTGATGATGAACTAAGCTGTCTTTGTTCTACCAGTACAGACCACAGCTGCAACCTGTACCTGCTAACCATTTGTCCTGTGTCATACCTACATGCACAGAAGAAACTGTGTGAAACTCTGTGTAGTTTTCTACGCGTTATGACTGAATATATGCACTGACACGTCGCTGCACCTGTCAAATAGATAGCACTGAACAGGGCAGCCGACCAGACCAAGATGGCAGCCCCACTGCACATCAATGCCAGTATTAAGTAGCAGTCGATGTGGCGGTTACTCTTTATTATGTCTTTGTTCCAACCTACCTCAATAGAAATAAATGCTCTAGGGGCACATGGGGGACCCAAGATGGTGGCCGTAGTGATACGTGAGTTCCAATAAACAGCGTCAGTCTATGGGGTGTATATAATGTCTATGGATCTGGCAACCCAAGCACACCTGCTCTGAGGTGTGTAAGCCTGCGGAGTAGACATGCTAGACTGCATTAATACATGTTCTGGGGCATGAGCTTCAGCCCTGGAACATGTATATTACCCACGATGTAACAGGATAGTCAAATATCAACAATTGGTTCCGATGGCCGCTTACACACAGTATAATAGAGTATTGCACAGTGAGGCTTTGTATGAAGGAATGTATGTTCCCCCTGTGTGGAGCTGCTGTTCTTTCTCTTCTTCCTGTATTTAACTGTGTTGTGTACCGTGGTAATACAGTTTATCAGATCAGTCTGTTGTGTAGTGTAGTAATGCAGTTTATCAGGATCAGTCTGTTTTGTGTGTTTTTAAACTTGAAGGCTCTTTTCAGTCTGCTTTCTTCTTCTGCATGTATATGTTTGGTTTTATTTTATTTATTCGATTGATGAATGATTTTTGATTGGTTCTTAGATCTTTGATTGTTCTTGCTGTGCCTATGTTCCTGCGTTTGAGTGTTTTGACATCATCTGTTTTCAACTGTTTGTTTGCATGAAAGTGAAGACAAATCACAATCGATTAGAAAAAAAAAACTGCATCATCTCTGAATTTTTACTTTCTAAACACACATCCTGAAGAAATACAGAAGGGTAGTGTTCATGGACTGAGTTGTATGCACAAACACGTCACATGGTTTAGCCACTGATCTGATTGACATGATTGTTAGGAGGTGGGCGTGGCCTCTGCCAGCCTACCTGTCTGTGTGAGGATGAGATGTATAAGAGTGGCTGCAGGCAGAGCTGTGATGGGCTGCTTGCTTGGTGGCTCATCTCTCTGTGATCATGTGATGCTTGTGACTTCCTGTCAGCTCTGATAACTCTTCACAATGCTCATTCATTAGTCTTCTGTCCAAAGTGGAGCTCAGGAATTCGGGGTCCATCTTTGACAGAAAGTAATCTGAGTCGCTGAACTGACATGACTGACCTTTATACCATGAATGAATCTGTTTTTGTTTTTCAGAGGAATCAGCAGTTCGTCTATGTGTCTCTAATGTGGACGCTCCTATAACCTTCAGATTGTCTCAGCTTTTAAATCAGATCATTGATGTTCCTGTTTTTTGATGATCAGAATTTTCCCATGAGCTCTCTGAGAGTGTATCTGTTTTTTTTTCAGGCTCAGAAACAGCTGAGTTTAAACCTGATGCTGGTTTATCTTTGAAGTATTCTGAGCACAGAGCTGATGGGTTCATTATTCCTCTAAAAAGTCTGTGTATAGAGGTCCTGCTGTTGTTGATGTTGTGCAACGAGTCTTTAAAAACTGAATTTCATGAACAAGGATTTTCTGTTTGTGAGCCGATCCTGATGAACCTGCCATGTTTTCAGTCAATGTTTTCTGTGCTGTAGCAGCTGGGGTGAACTGGCTCTGAGTCTGAGTGCGGCTGGTCTGCTTTCCTCATTGTGAATCTCTCTGAGCTGAGGGACCTTAACTTCCTGTCTCGCTGTCTGATGTTTGATGTCTGATGGAGAATCGCTCTGAGCTCGTCTTCTTTCTTCAGGGTCTGAATGACTCTCTGACAAACCGTCAGATATACTTCTCCTTTGCTCTGATCACGTACCTCCTCACGATCTTTGTTAACCTGACACTCATCGTGGTTGTCTGCTTGGAGAAGTCACTCCATGAGCCCCTTTACATCTTTCTGTGTAACCTTTGTGTGAATGGGATATGTGGGGCGTCCAGCTTCTACCCAAAGCTCCTCCATGACCTTCTGGCTGACTCCCATGTCATCTCATACATTGGCTGCCTGTCACAGATTTTTGTGGTTTATGCTTACGTGTTTGTTGAGTTCACCAGTCTGACCGTTATGGCATATGACCGCTACCTTGCAATCTGTAAGCCACTGCAGTATCACACACTGATGACGACGTGGCGAGTGGCGCAGCTGTTGCTTCTCACCTGGAGCTTCTCTCTGCTGGAGATCTCAGTGGGAGTCGCCCTGACTGCCCGCCTGCCGCTCTGCGGACGCCACATTCACAAGTTCTTTTGCACTAACTGGGAGGTCGTGAAGCTGTCATGCTCCGACACCATTGTCAATAACATCTACGGCTTTGTGCTCATGTTCTCGCACGTCTCACAGACCGTGCTCATCCTGGTGTCATACACGCACCTGGTCTGTGCCTCACTGCGCCTGCGCTCCAACCGTAGGAAGTTCGTCCAGACTTGTCTGCCACACCTCATCACACTGCTGGTCTTCACTGGCTCACTGGTCTTTGACATCATGTACTCTCGTTACAGCAGCAGCAGCAGCAAGCTGCAGACGCTACACAACATGCTGGCCGCAGAGTTCCTGGTGGTCCCTCCCCTCATCAACCCTGTCATCTATGGCATAAACTTGCACCAGATACGCTACAGGATCCTCCGCAACTTCAGTGTCAGACCAGAAACTCTAAAACCTCATCCATGATCAACACAAGCTGTGAAACAACTATCTTTATTCCCAACAAAATCCCCTTCAGACCTTTAATCTCCAGCTCACCTGACCGGGAACCTAAATCTGAGGTTTTTACTCCTCAGTTTGTGCATTTGTGTTTGACCTCAGTCTCCTCCTCCTCCTCAGTTTGTTCAGTTTACAGAGAGCCACCCTGAGCTACAGAAAAGATCAGCATGGAGGTTCCTAACAACCTAAAACACAATCTGCATGACAATCAAACAACAGAAATAATGAGAATAACCTCTACAATGATAATGATAATAATAATACATCAGTAGACCAAATACACTTATGAACCCTAATGAATGAAAATATGACAACTCACCTGTCCTTACAGAAAGATATAAAAACCTTAAAAACTAACAACAAAAAACTGCATTTACCCAGATTTTTCCACAAAGCACAGAAATAAAAAACTTCTCAAAGATATTAAAAATATGAATATCCAGAAGATAAAGTCCGACTCTTTGTTTGAATTCGACATTGAAGCAAAAAGGGTTGTGTTTTTGAGTGAGAATAATGATTAAAAAAGTGATAGAGTGAATAAAATGACAATGAAGAGGCTTTAAAAAAGTTTATAAACATCTTTCAGCCTCTAGACTTTATCGACAGTGTCTCATGATGTGATTTAAGTTTCAAATGAAATCAAAGTCTGTGTTTGAAAACCTGAAGTGTTTTTTTTCCTGTAGGATCTAAGTGTAGCAGCCGTAATAAAGAGAAGAAAAAAACAGGCATGTTTGAAGGTTTTATTGGTGGATTGTCGAGGGAACCACAGTAACATCACTCTGTCCTCCATCTTATCAACCAAATCCGATTGACTGACTCTGCAGTGACCCTTAAACACATCACAGCTTCTCTACACCTGAATGCCACATAAATATCTTTAGACCTACAGATCTTTAGATCTTTAGACTACAGTATAAAAATAAACATCCCTGACATTCAGCTCAGCATCCAAAAAGCACAAAGGGAAGAAGAACACAAAGAGCTGACTTCCTGTTTGGCTAAAGAGACATTCTGCTTTTTCATGGAGGCTCAATTAGGACAAAACTGACCACAGAAAAACTGCAGCCTGTGAATGGATCTGTTGAATGATGTTTGCCTGATCAGAGTTTGAATCACTATTCCAGGGAAAAAACAAACAAACAAAAAAAAAACAAGTTTTTACTATTTGATGAATAAAGTGCTGAAAATATTAAACAGAAATCAGACTCAGAGTCCAGATGTCATAGTTAAGGCTCTCTTTTTCTTTGGTTTCAGTTTGGCTGAGAGGCTTTCAGTTTTGAAGGTTTTTGGAGTATAACACAAAAAGGTTCGCTTCGTTGAAAATAGAAATGTGAGAGTTCAAGAACGGAGTCTGAATATTTCCAGACTAAAGCTGCAGATGTACAAGAATAAATGTGTGAATGAATAAAAAACATGTGAGAGAGAATCAAGGTGAGATTTATGATCACATACTGGTTTCAGAACACCAGTATATGTTATTAAAAGAACTCAGATCATTGTGTCAAGTTGGGGGTCGATGTCATCTGCTAGTTACCACACAGCGGTCCTTACAGGTCCGATCCTGAGGACTGTGATGCAGCTGAGCTGAAGATTGGAGCATTTTCTGAACTCATACGAACCGAAAACTCAACAGTCATTTATAAGGGACTGAGCAGCAGGGTGGTGTTAGAGTCGGGCTGATACCATAAAGAGCCCCTTTTTTAATCTTAGTAACCTCAAATTTGGAGACCTTGACATTAAACTCACCAAACCCCTCTCATGCATCAGGCTGGGTCAGAAAGAAGAATGGCTGCTCCCAGCTGACCCTGTATGCGCTTGGATTTCTGCTCGTCTGACCCTTCAATCTCAATAACTCTTCTTTCTTATTCATTTACAGCTCTGTTCTTAAAATCTCACATTTTTGTCTTGTAACCTTTAAACTCTGATGCAGCTTGACATTCCTGCTCCGACTACTTTGTTGTTGACATGAACCAATAAGAAAAAGATGTTAAAACAAAACGAAAGATTCAAGAAAACAAACCAAATCCTGCCAGCTTTGAGAGCAGCAGCAGTGAGTTAACAAACATGAGACAGTTCTGAAAACCTGCTTTTCTTTTCCATCACTGCACACTAAATTGTGTCTTCATTTCTCAGAGTGATATCTCAGTAAACCCAAACTGCTCATAGATAAAGTCTAGCATCATGACAACGTTAGTCTCAGTTTTCTCCTTGACTGTTCCTTTAGGATTGACTGATCAGGTCTGTCCCCAAGACCATGATGATTATGACAGACATCCATCAAACAGGAATCATACACTGATGTAGGTCGTCAACAGAACATCATTTGAACTTCCTTCTGTCCTGTTCAAACTTCCAGATATTGTAAACTAAATGTGACGTTTGGACTTAAGTTTTCTCCTCCATCCTCTTTATGAAAATACTCTTAGCTCTGCATCTCTTACCCATGATGCTCTCTGCTGGGAGGTAAACACACATGTTTCAGGTGGATGTGTTGTTCTTTGTTCAAAGTATGGACTCTAAAGTGAACTTCATCCACAGCACACAGAGAGGCAGCAGCTGCGACTACAATGACTTCAGATTCCTCTAAAAGCGAGACAGGATTTGGTGTCATCAACAGGGAACAGCTGTGGGCTCATGGGAAAGGACAGGGTGCACTGGAGGCAGAGCTACACACTGCGGCGGATCAGGTTGTTCCTCTCGGGCTCCAGAAAGTCGTCCAGCAGAGCGGTGGTGATCTTCCGCAGCTCCTCCTCCAGCTGGGACACCTCGCTGCAACATGGACACACAATGATGATGACAACAATTTAACAGTAATGATGACATCACATGCTGTATAATTTTGAAAGGATGTTTTCAGACATTTTCTGTAGTTTGTTTTTCATTTGTTGAATCTCCTCTGTGACTGAAAATAAAGGTCACACTGGCAATTGTAACAGTAAATTAATATTTTTGTTTCTCTTTAGTGTTTCACCAAACAGCTTCAATATGAAACATCAAAGATTTTTATGTGACGCAGCAGCTGGGATCTCCGTTTCTGTGGCACCCCCTGTGGACCAAGTCTGTAGTGTTCAGTGTTTGGTATCAGTGCATATTAACAGGGCTTGTTTGGCTTTGAGATTACTGGCATTAAAACGTGACTTGTTACATTTTTGTCTTCTTTCTGACTGTTAGCGAAGAACAGCGTTTACAGACACATCAGCAGATACTGTGAACACTATACAGGTTATGGAGAGAATGACTTTCTCGTTAAATCATTGCTGGATATCTGACATAGTTGAAAAATGGAATGAATGTTTAGGTGACCAACTGTTTGCTTAAACATGTTCAGTTAAGTGTTTTTATCAACATAAAGTAAAAAAAATCAGCCTGACTCTTTATTCAGAGTCTGTTTGAGAATTATTATTTTAATGGGCTTCAAAAAAGTCTTTTCCTAAATATCACTCTTTAAAAGGGGGATGGACTCTGTTTTTTTTCGGGGGGGGGGGGGTGCCTTTGTTCAGGATGGTCTGATTATCAGGTCAATACAGCGTCTTTAAAACCTTAGTCAGCAAAAACAACTCGAGATAAAAAAGAAAAGATAAGTGGATTTATTTGATTTCCAACAGACAGAAACGTGTGTGTATGTGTGTGTGTGTGTGTGTGTGAAAGAGAGTAAGCATGTAGGTATGTATGTGTGTGCATGTGTTGCAGCAAGCTGACCTGACCCCCGGTGCAGCGCAATACTCAGTGTAATATTTGATTTTGGGTTCGGTGCCGCTTGTCCTCAGCGTGGCCACGACGCCATTCTGCAGCGTTAAGGTGATCATGTGACTGCTCTTGGTGACAGGAAGTACCTCCACAGAGAACAGAGGAGCAGTAATTGAGTTTAGTTTAGACAAAGATAAAGAAGATCTTAATAACGTCCTAATCAAGTCTGTTTTGGTTCCCCCTTGTGCAGATTTTCAGCCTGTTCTGTTTTCTGGACATTGATTGGACACCTGGTCCCGCTTCGAATCCATGCTAAGAACATGAGTCCATCTTTATCTCAGATTTTCTACAGACAATCATAGAAATAATTATGTGTGCTTGTTTTGTTGCCTTGCCCAATCAGGATGCAGTATCTGGATATTCCTGTTTGGTTCACTAACTTGAGCCAATCAGAGCTAAAGCAGAAGTTCTTCATGAAACAAATGACGTTTTTTCAGTTTTAGGGAAAGGTGAAAACTTTGGTGTGGACAGACTTTAAAAGTTTCACCTCTGAAGGTCTGAAACAGGTCTCAGGTGACCACCCTCCAGCTTCTGCTGTTTCTGAGTTTTATTGAAACTCTGGCTGACCTAACAAACTGTGGGGGATTTCTTCATGTTTATGTCACAGCTGAGAAAAACAAACCGCTCCATCTCTTCCCGACTTACAGATCTGAGGTCAGGCTGGCTGCTGTCGTATCCTGTGGTTACATCTCTGACGTGGACAACCTGGACACCACCACACACCTTTGGGTACAGACCCTTGCCTTCAAAGTTTCGTATCCGGCTGAAGATCTTCTGGATAGTGGGGGGATCATTACAGACCACGTACGAGGTTTTGGACAGGTGATGACCATACCTGCAGACAGGAAGATGACAAACAGATGATTTAATTCAATCAGATTAGAGCTTAGAGGCCTGCCACATACAACAGCAACACAGAACCCAAAACAGACTCACAGGACGGAACAAAAACATCCATGATAGAAGAAAACATCTGAAAAGAGAAAGACTTCAAACCAGGGACTCAAAACATCTCAGCTCTGAAAAAGGCCAGGGGCCTGTTCTACGAAGCAGGATTACTGCTTAGCAAGGTAACTTCGAGGATAAGTTCGGGGTTTCCTGTTCTACGACGCGGGTTCACTTCTTAGCGAGGCGAGTCTCCATAGCAATATACGCTGAACGGCTAACCTGCTCTGGGGCAGGTTAAGTTCCAGATTGAACTCACCGAGTATAAAAACCCCGCCCACTGACCAATGAGCTCTCTCGAAAAACGGCTTGTCCGTTCTTGGAGAATCCTGTAGACCTCGGTGCTCGCATTGTCTGAGGAGGAGCACTCCGGCTCGCGAGAGTTTTCAGGGAGAGTTTTCTCCGGATGACCACCTTTATCGAAGGCTCATATGGCCGACATATCACACAAAACATGTAAACATGATAGGAATGAACAAATGAGTGAATTCATCTTGGAAATGAATGGGCATGAGCTGCATGGGCTGTGTGATCACAGACAACATCTCAGTACTATTTAGTAGCAGCGCACGCCCCTTATAATAACCCCGTAAATACTGTTGTTCAGGACTGCTTACTTGTGCTTCCTACCTACTGTAATAACCGTTGTTCTAGCCCACATGCAACATTTTTGTTCTCATTCATGAAACGCTTAAATCAGGGACATTTTCGGGGACAGCTTTAGCCGGGGACAGATCATCCAATTCGGGGACTGTCACCTTAGTTAAAAGCGCATGTTGAACAGTGCTATTTCAGGGTGATAATGGCATCAAAGATTACTTTTCTGCCAGCGTTCCCTCCGTGCTTTTGCAGCGGCGACGGTGTTGCTTTTGAGGTTTGTGATAGCTTTCAGTTCTTCATACTTTCTCATGATCATCTCCTGTTCCTCGTTTGTAAAGTCCGCGGTCCTTCACTCTCCGTCCTGCTCTGACGCTCCAGAATGGTCCATGTTCGTGATTGGTCAGATGCGGCGGGCTCCGCCTTATATGTGTGCACGCGCTCATAGCAGAGCTGGATCCACTTATGAGGTTGATAACCAGCGTCGTAAAACCGTGTAGCGAGACCACTGGCTACCACGCTGAGGCTGTGTCTCATTTCAGAGACCGCATCGACCTAAGTGCCCTTCTGCACCTTCGAACGGTGCATTTGAAGCGTGCATGACGTCACGACGGTGCGAACGGTGTCCCATTTGGCACGAGATGCTAAAAAATGCTAAGCGCGCTTAGCATGTTTTCAAGCGTCCATTTATGCACGCTTTCGTGCCGTCGGTATCCCAGAATGCTTTGCGTGCCGCTGCACAGCTGCGCATTTCAGGTGAGAGGCTGGACTCGCTTGGAGACGCAGCGCGTCTTCAAAGAAATTACAAGCAATCCAAAAACAGCAGACAGTCAGCTGAGGCTGTATGAGAGCATGATCTCTGAACTCACTAAAATCTGTAAACCAAACATTATAGATTTAGAGACGAACTGATCCGCTCTGCTTCAACAATCAAAAACATTAGAAATAAGAAAGCTGACAAAACTACAGCAGAGTATCAGGACAACATTGAGTTTTTTTTCTTTTAAGATTTAGAGATTAAAGTTGTAAATTTAGGAGAATAAAGTCATAAAGTAAATAAAGTCATAAAGCTGCTTTTGTGGAGGGGGAAATGACTGAAGTTGGTCATCTGCAGGGTTATCTGTGGATGTATCAGCGGGTCATTCAGAGAGATTTTGTGGTTTCTGAAGAAACAATCAAACTGATGATGATCAACATTTGTGATCCAGAGGGAGTCGAGCTCCGACGAGCACCACGTCTCTGACACCGGCCATAGCCTACACCTGCAGAGACACCAACACCTTATTATGGCATATGGATTCATATCATAAACTAAAGCTCAATGTCATTCACGGATATTTACGGCTGCATTGACAGATATATCCTCAGCATATTCATTTCTGCCTCCACAAAAGCAGCGATTTCCTTCAAGTACACCAGTTTTTTTCCCCGTGGAAAAGACGTATTTCTCATATATTCTTTTTTTAAAGTCTTTATACTTATGACAATGTTATGCTGATGTGCCAGAGGATGAAGTATCTCCTATCCTCCTTCTCAATAGGGCCCTCATACTCCTTCATACAAAACAATCATTGGATGAATTTTGTGGGAATGATCTGTGCTTGTATGTATCTACTATTTTGTGTCTGTGCAAGGTCGCACAATTAAAACAATACATGCTGCGCTCCGCAGCTTTTTTTCTAATCAGTCGTGACGTAAGCCTGAGGGCGGGGACATTTGGAGACCTTCGGAGGACTTCCTGGTGGAGTTGCCAAATGTCCCCGCCCTCAGGCTCGCGTCACGACTGACTTAAAGGAAACCCGCGGAGCGCAGCATTTATTGTTTTAATTGTGCGACCTTGCACAGACACAAAATAGTAGATACATACAAGCACAATTCATCCAATGATTGTTTTGTAAGAAGGAGTATGAGGGCCATATTGAGATTTAAGACTTTAAGGACTTCGAGATTTAAGTCGTGAATTTACGAGAATAAAGTCATTAATTTATGAGAATGAAGTCATAACCTGTTATTTCAGAGAGACTTGTTAAAATTAGGGCCATGAAGCATTTGAAGGAACTGTGCTTCAGTATAGGTTTCACAAACAAGGAGATTCTTCATCCTCTGGCACATCAGCATAACATTGTCATAAGTATAAAGACTTTAAAAAGAATATATGAGAAATACGTCTTTTCCACGGGGGAAAAAAATTGGTGTACTTGAAGGAAATCGCTGCTTTTGTGGAGACAGAAATGAATATGCTGAGGATATATCTGTCAATGCAGCCGTTAATATCCGTGAATGACATTGAGCTTTAGTTTATGATATGAATCCATATGCAGTAATAAGGTGTTGGTGTCTCTGCAGGTGTAGGTTACCGCCGGTGTCAGAGACGTGGTGCTCGTCGGAGCTCGACTCCCTCTGGATCACAAATGTTGATCATCATCAGTTTGATTGTTTCTTCAGAAACCACAAAATCTCTCTGAATGACCCACTGATACATCCACAGATAACCCTGCAGATGACCAGCTTCAGTCATTTCCCCCTCCGCAAAAGCAGCTTTATGACTTTATATACTTTATGAGTTTATTCTCCAAAATTTACAACTTTAATCTCTAAATCTTAAAAGAAAAAAAAAACTCAATGTTGTCCTGATACTCTGCTGTAGTTTTGTCAGCTTTCTCATTTCTAATGTTTTTGATAGTTGTAACACAGCGGATCAGTTCGTCTCTAAATCTATAATGTTTGGTTTACAGATTTTAGTGAGTTCAGAGATCATGCTCTCATACAGCCTGAGCTGACTGTCTGCTGTTTTTGGATTTCTTGTATTTTCTTCGAAGACGCGCTGTGTCTCCAAGCGAGTCCAGCCTCTCACCTGAAATGCACAGCTGTGCAGCGGCACGCAAAGAATTCTGGGATACCGACGGCACGAAAGCGTGCATACATGCACGCTTGAAAAAGAGGCGGGGGTAGTGTGGTTTTGAGACCGAATTTGAAGCGCGCTTAGTATTTTGTGCCAAACGGGACACCGTTCGTGCCGCGTGGTGACCTCACGTACGCGTCAGATGCGCCGTTCGATGGCTGCTGTATCTGAAATGGGACACAGGAAGGGCACAGAACGGCGCAAAACGGCTCAAAACGGCTCAAAACGGCAGTGCACTCAGCTAAGCGCCGTTAAGTGCGCTTATCACGATGCGGTCTCTGAAATGAGACACAGCCTAAGTTGAGCGAGGTAGCTCTAAGGCTACCTCGCTAAGTTGAACCTGCTTCGTAGAACAGGCCCCTGGAGTAGACCTCTGAGGACATTGGTTTTGTTGGGTACCTTAGACACCTTCACCATGAGAGAACATCTAAAAGTGAACCAATCTAATGTTTAATGAAACAGAGGGCGGAGAGCTAGTGTTTGCTGCCCTCTAGTGGTAAAAGATTTGTGTCAACAAGGAGATCATCAAACTGAAGATTAAACAAGTCAGATGTGTTTCATTTAACTGCATCAATCCAAAAGGAAACATGACCAAAACAGATTCTCTGAATTATTTAGAGTCCAGATTTCATGAAAAACTTAAACAACCTCTGACACTAGGGAAAGTTTTAGGAAAAACCTGGGCTAATTTTAAATTTGAGGTTTGTTTAAAGTAGTTCCAGGTTCATGTTTCTCACCGTGTGTCCTTAGCTCTTCCTTCACTAACCCTCTGTAAACCTTAGTGAACCTAGCAGACCAGGTTCTGTACATCTTAGTGAACCGAGCAAACCAGGTTCTGGAGTCTGATAGTGAAATGTTGTCCTATTATAGCCTGATAGAGAATTTCAGCTGTTCAACAGTTCAGGGTCTCCTTCGACCTGTTTTTGCTCCAAATGTTTTCAAAGGGGGACAAGTCAGGACTGCAGGCAGACCAGTTTCTCAGCAGGACTCTGTCGTTGTCCTCCTGAAATATGAAGGTCTTACCAAAAAAGTCTATGTCTGGATGGCAGCAGGTGTTGCTCCTGAACCTGCAGGTATTGTTCAGCCTTGTGTGATCATGTCTAATATTGCTGAATTTCTCTCCCTGTGGTTGGCAGATTAACAGCAGGACAGGTTTTTTCCTCACATAGAGCTCTGTGAGCTAACATTAGATCTTACGTCTGGTAAATGTTGAGGAGCTGTTGGCCCAGACTCAGGTTCTTAGAGAGGAGATATGCCGCCATTTCAGCCACGACCACTGCTGCACTCACGCCATCTTTCTCGGGAACCAACCCACCGCACAAAAAACCTGAAAACACAGAAGCAAAGATTTGCCACATCTGCACTTGTGTTCATTTTTAGTTTTATGTTTGATATGTGGTCGAAATGATCTTCTGATGGCATGAAAATTAAAGATAGTTAATGATTCTGTGATGTGACAGATGGTCTTCAGGAGAGTTACTGAACCTCTGACTTCAATCAGACCAACATGAACCATGAAATCATCCAGAGTGTAAAATGAGTCTAACCAGCAGAAAGTGACAGCAGACAGTTTTCTTTATGAATCAAGTTAGAGCTCAAAGTCTAAAGATTGTTCAGAGGTGAATGTGTGGAGAAAACCAGCAAAAACTAAAGGGGATGTTATGATGTCCTTATCAGAAGTTTTTTTCAATAAAATTCAGACCCTCAGAGACCATCACCCTGACTGAAGACGTCTTAGATTAAATACAGTATATATTAAACATGCTCACCGATGGACTCCTCAAAGGCAAATAAGACAGTGTTTCCTGTTTTGGTCAGCTCATGTATTTTGTTCCCAATCCATTTGAACCCAGGAAGAGTTTCCTGTTAAGCACAGAGACACACAGACAGACTCTTATTTTGATATACTATATTGGATCGATTTTTCTACATTTAAACCGTCAGACCTCGAAGTGGAAGCCCTCAATGCGAGCAAAGGCCTGCAGGATCTTAGAGGACACCGTTGTAGCCAGCATGTAGACCCTCTGTGAGTCTGCAGGATCTGGATGGGCCTCCTTCCAATTAAAGAACATCCACCAACCCAACAGAGCGGCCAGCTCATTCCCTGTGAACACCTTCCAACTGCACCTGTGAGAGTGGCACATACAGGTCAACGACACCTCTATCAGGGGGTAGGCTGAATGTTTTTTCAGACTGTCTCTACTTCAGTGCCTTTGCACAAACAACAATTACCTGTCTGATCTCTCAGCCACAGCCAAACGGTCAGCATCGGGATCTGTCGCCAAAACGATTTCAGCTCTCTCTTTCTCTGCCAGACGGAGAGAAAGTTCCTGCAAAAACACACAGAAATTTAAAACGCTGAGTCACAGAAATCACCAGAAGACCTGAGACCAGTATCCTACCAGCACTGACTCCCCCTCCTCAGGGTTAGGACAGCGGACAGAGGGGAAGTTTGGGTCCGGGTCCTTCTGTTCAAGGACAGGGATTGGAGGAGCAAAGCCAAAGGTGAGGAAGGCCTGATGGACAAAGTCGTGTCCTACACCATGGAATGAGGAATGGACGAACTTCAACGGAGAACTTCGGTTCAGATCCCTGAGGGACACAAAAAGGCGTCAGACACTCCTGCTCTTTGTTTGACCTGTTAGCATAGAAACAGGTGAGCTTCTGTTCATTCATTCATTCATTTCTACTGCTTATTCCCGTTGGGGGTAACAGGGGGCTGGAGCCTACCCCAGCATCTTTGGGCAAAGGCAGGGGACACCTTAGACAAGTCGCCAGCATACTTCTTCAGCATCTTCTTGTTTGGTTATCAAGCATACTGATTCGGACCCACATCTGTTAAAGACTTAAGAGGTCATGGTACTGTTTTGTTTAAATCTGGATTCATAATGAGGCATTCACAAGAAGCACGAGTCAAACCATCTACTCGCTTAATTTGCGGGTATGTTCACATGTGAATGAAGAGTATTGACTTGCTTCATTTGCAAGAATCATTCGCACCATTTACACATCAACGGAGTGCTCAAAAGGCGTGGATACGTGAGAGTCTCCATCAAGCATGGTAGAAGTGAACTACGTCGCGAGGATTGCTGCTTTGTATTTGTTGTTGAAGGCCAGTCGGAGATGGAGGCACTGCTGTGTCTGGGTGCATCCTATTCTCCAGATGTGCTGACAGTTTGGAGAATTTCACCACCTCCTCCAAGAGCTGCGCCTGGCTGACGGCCATTTCCAGCGATATTTCTCAGTCCAGTGGAGGATGTACAAGCATGCCATGGAGGTCCATCCAGACAACCTTTGTTCTCCACATCTTAATACGGAGGTCAGCTGAGACACCTGCAGTGTTTGGGAGCAGTGAGGTGCAGCCACTGCCAGGTCCTGTTAGGGTTGGATCCAACACCTCTTCCAGAGAAGCCATCCGGGTCAGGGAAGTCTTTAAAACCCATTTCTCTGCAGAGGGAGCAGTACCCTGGCAACCAACTGAATGATGCACACCACAATGGCTCTTTTAAGAGCCAACCACACATTAAAACTGAGCAAAAGTCCTGCAATATTATATTTTTTATCAGTACCAGAATGAATTCATATCTATGTGCAGTGCTTCTACTTTATATTTTTGTGATTATGCATTTCAGTAAATGTATTTTAATCTTGCATTTTGTTGCTTGGTATAAAGAGACCATGTCCTGAGAGAGCTCATTTATGACTAACAATAAAATGGCATAACACCGTTTTTGTGATGAGTACTAGGAGGTTTCAAACTCCAGACTTCCGAATAAGTCATTAACTCAAATAACTTCATGACAAGCAGTCTTTTTCTTCAGATAAAACTATTCAAATCAAGGTTTAAGCAGCCATGGAACAGGGAAAATACTACATTAGCAAATTATTGGTCTGACTTGATTGCACCACTTGGTCTTCAACTACTTAATTTGGTAAGATGCAAAATATATGAAACACTGCAAGTTAAAACATTATAATGCAACTAAAAACTCAATGTATTATCAGTTAGACCAGTTAAGACGTTGTATCTGGAAGTCAGACTCAGATAGCAGTTTACCAAACATAACAGAATTCAAACACGCAAGATCAATAATCATTTAAAAATGATACAGACCTGAACTACCATGTTAAAAAATTATAGAGTTGATGAAATTCAGAAAAGCACTTAATACCTATGGTAAAAGAAAGTCAAACATAGATTTTAACAGATATAACATGCTTTATTAACTAAAATTTATGAACAATTAAATAACAGATATTTAAAAATCAAAAACTATGTACATCCAGGAGTGAGATGCAAGAGTGAGGGACAAAGGAGAAGGGGAAAGAGATCAAACGTCTGGTTCGGGGCAGCAGCAGGTGAGGAAAGACAGAACTTCCCTGCTCCTGCTGCTGACCCACTTCTCCTTTCCATCTCCTTTCCCCTCTCCTTCAGGTAAGTGTCCCTCAGGCTCTTCCACTTCTTTTCTGCATGTTTCTTTTTAAAAAACATAAGTTTTACATAGTTTCCCTGACGTGAGGCCAATTCTTCAAATTTCAACAGTGATCCTTGACAATTCAAACAGTAGGATTAAGTGATGGAGCAAGGTTTTAACAATTTACCAGATAATCTGACCTCCTCACCCACTTTCCACTAGGCGAGCTCCTTTTTAATCCTGTTTCAGTAAAGAAACAAAACAAGTTGTATTTTACAGTTCAGGGTACCCGCACATCGACACAATGACTTTGTCCTCCTTTTTTCAAATCAGTGGTCTGTCATCATGCGTCACCCGGGTATCTCAATGCTGTTTGGTTATCTCGATGCGAACATCCCCATAAATTGAGATTTTTTTTTTTTACTTTCACAAATAACATGCTCAATTCGTGCGGTTTGTGCTGTCGGAGTAGAACAAGTGTCTAATCACATTTTTGCATTGACTTTACACATAATCCACTTGTGTGAATGATTTTACTGTGCTTGATGTGAACGCCCCGTAACAGGGAAAGCTGTCAAGGGTTAATGAACAGGCCCTTAATTCCCCAGCTGAGCACAGAGGGGGGCTCAGAGAAACTGCACAGAGAGAGATCACAAAAGAAGAAATATTTCCTCTAACCTGGTATTGAAGAGCACTTTTCATGCTAGCTACTGTTGGCAGGCTAAACATTCCAGTTAACACAATGCCAAAGTCCTCCATGCAGGAGTCCAGTCTGCTGTTAGAACACAATGTTTACCAAGCCAAAATGTTCTGACCCAAAACAGGCCCCTTGGTGGGAATGCACCATCAGACTAGCTGCAGAGATACTGAGACCAGTTGCCGAGGTCTAAGTTTGACAGTCAAGAGACATGGTCTAGGGAATGACTGAAAGGGTCTGGACTGGATGACAGAGTTGTGATTAGTTGCACAGACTATGATACTAACTGCAGACTATGGGTTGAGGTCCAAGACCTCTAGCTAGAGAGGTCTATGGTCTTATGTCTTGCTGTAGAGGCCTAACTTCCAGGGTCAGTGCGTTGAAGTCTGGGACCTAGATAGGGAGGCCTAAATATTTGGTGCAGTGGTATCGACTAGCTGCAAATATCTTGAGCTGGCGAGGTTCACCACTTTGTGAACAATTGCGTGAGCAAATAGTCGAACAGTTTAAGAACAACGTTTCTCAAAGTACAATTGCAAGGAATTTAGGGATTTCAACATCTACGGTCCATAATATCATCAAAAGGTTCAGAGAATCTGGAGAGATCACTGCACGTAAGCGGCACGGCCGGAAACAAACACTGAATGCCCGTGACCTTTGATCCCTCAGGCGGCACTGTATCAAAAACTGACATCAATGTGTAAAGGATATCACCACATGGGCTCAGGAACACTTCAGAAAACCACTGTCAGTAAATACAGTTCGTCGCTACATCTGTAAGTGCAAATTAAAACTCTACTATGAAAAGCGAAAGCCATTTATCAACAACATCCAGAAACGCTGACGGCTTCTCTGGGCCAGAGCTCATCTAAGATGGACTGATGCAAAGTGGAAAAGTGTTCTGTGGTCTGATGAGTCCACATTTCAAATTGTTTTTGGAAATAGTGGACATTGTGTCCTCTATTCCTACAAGAGGAAAAGAACCATCCGGACTGTTATCGACGCAAAGTTCAAAAGCCTGCATCTGTGATGGTATGAGGGTGCATTAGTGCCTAAGGCATGGGTAACTTACACATCTGTGAAGGCAACATTAATGCTGAAGGGTACACACAGGTGTTGGAGCAACATATGCTGCCATGCAAGCAACGTCTTTTTCATGGACGCCCCTGCTTATTTCAGCGAGACAATGCCAAGCCACATCCTGCACATGTTGCAACAGCGTGGCTTTGTAGTATAAGAGTGCGGGTACTCAGCTGACCTGCCTGCAGTCCAGACCTGTCTTCCATTGAAAATGTGTTGCACATTATGAAGCGTAAAATACGACAACGGAGACCCCAGACTGTTGAACAACTGAAGCTGTACATCGAGCAAATGGGAAAGAATTCCACCTTCAAAGCTTCAACAATTAGTGTCCTCAGTTCAAACGTTTATTGAGTGTTGTTAAAAGTAAAGGTAATGTAACACAGTGGTAAACATGCCCCTGTCCCAACTACTTTGGCATGTGTTGCAGCCATGAAATTCTGAGTTTTATTATTATTATTAGAATTATTATTTGCAAAAAAAAAATACAGTTCATGAGTTTGGACATTAAATATCTTGTCTTTGTAGTGTATTCAATTGAATATAGGATGATGTATTTGCATCAATTTGCAAATCATTGTATTCTGTTTTTATTTACGTTTATCACAATTTCCCAACTTCAATGGAATTGGGTTTTGTACATTATGCAGAGGCCTCAGGACCAGCTAAAGAGGTCTATGATATTAGGACTAGCTACATAAATCTGAGGACTAACTGAAATGGACCTCAGTCCTCCTATCACCTGTGGAAGCAGAGGGAGGTGAGCTCCTCCATATAGCGGCTGTTGATCTGGGTCAGGGGGTCAGTCCTCAGGGAGTTGCTCTCCACCAGCTCCTCCTCCCAGCAAGAGGCGCTCCATGGCTCCAGCTGTTCCTCAATAGCCCGCAGGATCTCCTTGTCGTGTGGTGCAGAGATCTGAGCGCCATTACACCAGTACACCTGCAGGGGGCAACACATATTCACATCTGAGGCCTTGTGTCATGTCAGTGTTTAGACCAGGGGCCTCATTTATCAACCGTGTGTAGAAAAGGTCCTAAATTCTGGCGTAGGAATGAAATTTAGAATGTGCGTAAGTTAAAAAAAAATTGTATTTATCAAACATGCGGACACCAGTCGTATGCACACTAGTAAGTAATCGGTGATGATAAATCCCACCTGTTCGGATCATTTGCATTCAGAAACACCTCCAATTGACAATATATGGAATCAACAATCCCTTTAAAAATGCCTGAATGGATTTTTTCCCCCTCGTAGAAACCATGGAGGTACACACTCACAGAGCTGTTCTGCAGAATGAATAAGTCGTGCGTTCCTACTGGCCACAGGGCAACAACGTTTAACAGATACATATGTGCATCACAGATTATTTGTGCATTGACTGAATGAAATCCTTATCTTTTGACATAACTGAATTTATTGTGTGAAGGTGCTTGGCTCCAATTATGTTCGGAAATCCGGCGATGGCGTGAAATCCTCGTTTTATTTCGGCTTGTTGGTGATGTGTGTTTGGGAACTGGATGTAAATTGAGGCCAGAGAAATTATTGCATCCAACTTTGCCGGCATGACTCTGCTTAGCGTTAGCTGCGAAATGCCACATATGTCTCCAATCTCACGCTGAAATGTTCCGGTGGCCAAAAAGCCCAGGGTGGGCTGGAGCTGGGTGTGCACTGGGACGGCTTTGGTGCGATTTGTCTCTTGCTCCAACACAGGTTGTAAATCACGGCATAAATCCATTAAAATGTTTTGGGGAAAGCGGTAACTGCTGAGAATCCACTCTGAGTTCTCACTGAACAGATAAGCACGTTCTTGGGAAACACGCAAAATGCAAGCAAAATAATCCATGATACTTGTATTTGTACTTGTAAGACTTAATTTGAGGTTGTCCTGTCACAGCTGATTTTATAGCTCATCACACCAATCATTCAAAATGTCTGCTAAAGAACTATTTCATAAATTTTGTACAGAGGCAACGGAGAACATGTGTGAAGTTTGACATTGCTGAATGCTGTGACTCCTTTAATGGGTTCTATTTGTAGTTTCACTTGTCTGCCACTAGTTCTTGTGTGTAAGCATGGTCAGAGGTGTGCTTAAATTTATGCACGATCCTAAGCACAAGTACAGGTTGATAAATTCCATGCTTTGCGTGGGAATGTTCGTACACACTCATTACGCACACATCTGTGCATAAGCACGGTTGATGAATGAGGCCCCAGGACTTTAATGTGCAAATCCGATATATCGGTATAAAAAATATATCGATATATTTTTAAATGAGTTATGAAATTGGACCATATCGCATATTTTGATATACAGATATCAGATGCTGTTCTTGACAGGCTGGTGTTTCTCGCACAAAATCTTTAACCCATTTAACCGGGGACAGCACATACGCATTTCTACCTTTCAAGCCAGGAGCACGGCTGCTCATTTCTACTCAGAAAGCCGAGTGCATGTAGGTATTTCAACCCTACAAGCAGAGAGAAGCGTGAACGCATTTCAACCTTCCAAGCTGGCGGTGCCGCTGCGCATTTCTACCCTTTATGTCGGGAGCGTGGATATGTCATTTTGTAACATTCTGTAGTTTTTCAATCATTTCTGGAGTCGTGGTGAATCAAATAACCATACCTGTCTGCCTCTGATTGGCTAATAAAGCGTCTGGATTCATGCTCAGACCTTGCTACGTGCTTTGTGAGGAAAGTAAACAATGACGGTAGCATTGAACAGCTTCAGAGTAGAAGCATCCAGCAAGTGTGAACAACCTCTACATATCGAGTGCTTTGGCTCACACTATCGCGTTTTCTATGAGTGTTGCATGACTTTGGGTGAGCACAGAGATGAACACACTGTCAGCCACTTACTGATTTATTTATTAGTTTTTAGTGCTGCTTTTGTACTGGCACTATACTAGCGCAGCTGTGTACCCTTTCAACACTTCATTTTTTTCTATTTACATTTGTATTGATGGAAACTTTATCATGACTGCCACTTGTTTTACAGAAAGCAAATTATTTGTTACTCTCTGGTGCAGAGCCTGTACTTTAATTTACACAGCCACTTAACTTCATTTGAGTTTGTTTGTTCAAGGTTTTCAATAATGTGAATAAATGGTAGTTATCTTGAAAGCCCCACGTGTAAGCTCTCAAATACTTTTTGAATTTTGTTTCTATCTGCTACAGAGGCAACACTTCAGAAAACCTCAGGATCTGGGGGCCTTTCTCAAAACGGCCCTCAGGATTTCAAAGTGTGTCTCAGACAGGGTTCAGGTCTTCATGGGTTAAACAAAGAAGGAGTCCTCCAAAGTCCTCTAATGTCGACCTCAAGACAGCACTCACTGTTTATCAAAGTAAAAAAGAAAGAGGGGGAAATGTTTACTGAGTTCATAATCTGGCATAGTCTTGTGCAACTGGTTGAGACTGTGATGACGATAAGTAAGACAGATAGGTAATCTCAAAATGATGTTTAAAAACAAGTTTCTTAAACTGAGTACTTTATTTTGTTCTGTCTTTATAGATGCAAGTGCTGCCCTTACTAGGGTTTGTCATATTTAATTCTTTGTAGTCTTTGTTGTTTGCATCCGTGGATTTGTTAGAGAGAGGAAGAAAATCTGCTTTTGATTTTAATATGCCATTTATAGTTGTCAAAATATTGATGCTTTTCTTATATAAATAAATTCACTTTAGAGGTACTATTTTACTTTTGCTATTTTTATTTAAGATATATTTTTCATTTTTTGTGTACCTTATGGAGCTCCAATTAAAAAAAAAAAAAGTACTCATGTGGTTATACAGTATTTATGTTTACATTTTATTGTTCTTTGAACAGCTGAGCATAATTTTGTCCGGCCAGTTTAAATAGAACTACTTGTGACATGTCATTTGGCTTTGAAAGTGACCAAACATTTGCTCTCACTTTGCAATAACAATATCGGGGATATATATCGTATCTCGATATTCAGCCTAAATATATCGGGATATGACTTTTGGTCCATATCGTCCTGCCCTAGAACAGATCTGGTAATATTTCATTTCAGTGACACATAAACCAACACAATTCCTCTGATTCTCAGAGTAGGTCATATCCTGAACTAGAAAAGAAATTGCGAGTGGGATTGCTCTGTTTCAAATCGCTATTGCTTAACTGCTATTGCGAATGGCTGAATTTTGAAAGTCTGAAAGATAAGAATGTTTGAATTTTGAGGACGCTTTGAATTTTTTGAACGATTTGGATGAATTCATTGAAATTGTTTAAAAAAAATTAGTATGTGGAAAATAAAAATGATTAAAAATCCTGAAGTTTGAGAAAAGTTTGAAGTACTAGAAAGGTTTGAATCATCTTGAATGAGATGGAATTTGAAGAATAAAATGATGTATAAATCGTTAAATGATTTAAAACAGGGAAATTAAAATGATTAAAATTCTTAAAGCAACGGGAATATCAGAAAGGTTTAAATCAGTTTAAATAATTTTTAATTTGTTTGAAGAATTAAATAACGCATGAATATTAGAATTCAATCTAGTGTGGGAAAAAAATTAAATTAAAAAAAAAATCCTGAATGCATCCCATAATGTCCTACATGAACTGCATTTATTTAGCCCCGGATGGTTTCTGTAGCTCAAACTTTGGGGGAAGAGATAGATGACAGTTTGTCTAGTGAAGGGTTATAAATGTAACCCCCAGTACTCAGTGTGCTGAGCAGTGTTTATTTTTTCTGAAATTTTTGATTTAGTCTTAGTCTTAGGGCTCTATTTTCGTGCCTCGCCGGCGACGCGGTGCATGCGCGGCGTAAGTGAGGTTCGCCGCGCCGACAAGGCGTTCCCAAGCACAATTTGTTATTTTGGTGAGTGGCGCAGCCCGGCGTAAGTATCCCCCCTCCCTAATTCAGCTCCTCCCAGCGGTGTAAGTCGTAGCGAAGGAGGAGAGAGGGCGGGGAGTGGGTTTAACACAGCCGAGACCTGTTTTCACCAATCACATCAGCTCCTCTCCTTGCCTTTAAATCCGCCACAGGCGAGGCATATTGCAATTTTCATGAAGTAGTCAAAGAGATCAAGAGATGTCTGAAGACAGTTATGCCACACGATGGCGACAAAGGGCAGCTCCTCAACAAGTGTCACTTTAAGCGCTGCATTGGGCGTCCTCCACACTCTCTTATATGAGCACAGATGGATTTGGTGTGTGTAATGTTGGACCCACTGGTAAGACAAACACCCTTTTCCACAAATAAAGACACTCACATAAAGTTGCTCGTATTCAAACCTCAGAATATACCGATATAGATCTAAATGTATGTGCTGACTCAGATTAATAGTTGTTGATGATTATTTATTGCACTGAAATGTGCCTGACACTGTGGAAACCTGCCGGTGAGGCATCGATGACGTATGCAGATACGCCGCCGGTCTACCAAAATACTACTAGACCAGCTGCGTTCCGCCTGCGCTGAAAGCTGACCAGGTTGGAATCGGCGAGCTTTCAGCGCACTTTACACGCCAGTGGCGAGCACGAAAATGTCACTGCGCCCGCTGTCGACACCTCCCCCTGCCACGCCACCACGCCCAGCTTGGCGGATCTCGGCTCGCCTCCGTGCGCCTCAGTCCACGAAAATACCAAACTGGCTGTATGCCGGGCTCCGCCAGACGAAAATACAACTGTGCGGGGCTCGCCGCCCTCCGCCGCCTCACAGGCGTACACGAAAATAGAGCCCTTAGTCTTACGACTAAACGCAAATTTTGCCTTAGTCCTGTCTTAGTCTTCTGGAATCATTTTAGTCTAGTCTAGTCGACTAAATATCGAAAACAGTCTTAGTCTATTAGTCTTCTGGGATTAGTCTAGCCTTCTGGGATTAGTCTTAAGGTCCTTACACACCGGGCGAGAATTCGCCAGGCGAATTGTTCGCCTTTTTTTAAAACAGCTTAAAGTCAATGCAAGCTTCCACACCGGCGGCGATTTTTCCGCGGGGCGAAAAGCCGCTTTTATTTTTCCGCTCCTGTGTCGAATTTTTCGGATATTCGCAGGCGAATATCTGGACCTGCTAGACCTCTGGCCAATCAAAAGTCATGTTGTTGATGACGTCACAGACCCATACGGCTGGAGGAGAGGGAGACGTTTGAGATTATGAATACGCAGAGAAAGGCAGCTGAGGTGCATCCAAAACTCTTTCTAATTACTAATGAAGTAGTTTCCTCACAAGATGACACTCTCTTGTCTTCCACCTCGCATCTCCTCTCCTCCGTGCCGCAAAACGACTTTATTAATTCGCTTTGCAAAAAATATACGCATATTCGCTTCGCGGCCGGTGTGTATAGGCGAAAGCGATTTTTCGGACCGGTGAATATTCGCAATTTTCGTCTCGCTTTTTCGCTTCGCTCCGCAAATTCGCCGGTGTGTAAGGACCTTTAGTCTTAATGTTTTCAGTCTTTGGGAAAAAAGAAAAAAAAGTCCACTACAGACCAGATGCAGATTTATAGTTGTAATCCAAAACATTGTTTTATTTTTCAGTATCAAACAACAAGATAACACATAAGTACATGTCCTTGATCTCAGTCTCACACTGACTACAATGAGTAATAAGGCCTGCACTATGCATGCATGCAGTACAGTGAGTGCATACTCATTCAGTCAAGGAAAGCTTTGCTGCCCTAAAGGACAATGTTCTTGAAAAATAACCACTTTCTCTGAACAAACAAATTATAACAATATAATTCTGATTAAGTTGTTGTATTCTTATCTGCTTTTACTGTTGGTGCAAAAAAGGTGCAATTGAGTACTCACTACTCAAACATAAAAAAAAATAAACACTATCTTAGCTGCCAGTAATAGCACTGCACCTAAATACAGCAAAACATAACAATTCTGTTATGTTTAAATAAGTACGTAACTGCTTGGACAGGGCTGGGCTACAATGCCTGGAGTTTGCCATAATGCCTCTGCCAGATCCAAACATTATAGTAACAGTATCGATCACATTTTCTCCTGTCTGCTACTCTGTGCATTGTAATGCAAAATCAAACACGAATGAAAAGAAATGTAAAGATAAAAATAGAAGATTGTATATTTGGCTTGTATGCCTTGCACAGTTCAGTAATAAATGTGTGTGTTGCACAAAAACCCATGCACGAAAAAAAGAAAATACAGGTAAATATACTCTGTAAGCATCATCAAAGTTCTGTCTCAGTCTTTGTTACACTCAGTCTTTGTTACACTCTCTTCCAACCAATAAGATTGCTTGCTTCACAGTGTAGTAGTGAACTAAATATATATAGAAAATGAAATATTCCTGAGACTGATTGATAATGTTAATATATAACAAGGATCAATGAGCTGATTGCTGTGCAAGACAAGTACATAGAATGGAACAAAATGTATCTCTCTGCTGCTGCTCTTCATATTAAACAAACAAACAAAAAAAAATAAATAAACTAATGACAGACCAGTCACGATTGGCATTTAATTAAGAATTCTACTGATCTAGTAGTTTTACAACACTAAACGCTGTCAATACTGTAACAGCAATGTATTGAATCAATGTGACAATTCTATTTGTTTTTGTTCATTTTAAGGAAAGCACTTCGCTCCAAAGTGACCCTTCCTCTGTTGCGTCGTCCTCTTGTGAGATCACTGGGGACACTGAATACCCTCTCTGCAAAAGCTTGAGAAGCTGGCATAGCTAACAAGTCTAATACGAAGGGTTTTAAGCTGTGATAAAAATTGTCACTCTTTTCCAGCCAAAAGCCAATCGCTGTCTCCTCTGTGATTGGATGTGCAATTTCTTCCTTGTACTTGATAATCTGCTGCCTGATGCTGGTTTTGGAGGTTCTCTGTTTCGGCCTTGTGGTGCGGCACTTTGACAGAAACTTGAACACTGGCTGCTTAGAGGAAGCTGCTGCTTCTGCTTCCGCAGGCTCAGTCTCCTCTTCTGCATCTTCTGACTGAATGCTGCTTGACAGGTCCTCCTCGTCTTGTCTCCCTGCCATTGGTGGCAATACGGTTTTGGCCACATAGTCCTCTGCCTGCATCAGCAGCTGCTGGATATTTCCATCAGACAGATTAACATTAACAAGCATTTCACAGACAATTGGATTGACAAAGCAGGCAGCTGCTGCAAGTGGTGAGAACTTTTCATCAACTGGATCCAGAAAGCAAGCAAAACGCTGGCTTAGATTTGCTTTCATTTTCTCTGCAAGAGTGGCGAGGTTACTGTAGCGACTGCTCAGTGTGAACTCAGTAAGGTGTCTGAGCAGATCAAAGAGGGAAGGGACCACTTGGGACAAGGATGTGGTGTCACTCTGGAGGGATTTAGTATGCTGTGCAAAAGGTAACAGTAGGACATGCACTAATGAAAGCTTCTCCAACTCACAAGTAAGCAAGGCATCCCATCCCATGTCACTTGCAATCTGGCAGACTGTGTTTTTGAGGTCGAGGAGTCGTGCGAGCAAGTTGAATGTGCTTGACCAGCGAGTGGGGCAGTCATTTATGACAATAACACCGCACTCCTTCAATACCCTCTGTGTTGCAATGGAGGACTGGCGAAAGAGCTTCACCATAGACCTTGCTTTATCGAGGAGTCACTTGACAGATGCCTCCTTTTGCACCTTGTTGACCACGAGCTGTAAGGTATGCACGACACATGGTGTCCGATCCATGTTGACTTGATGGTACTTAATAACGAGAGGAAGGAAGTGAGACAAAGAGAAAAATTATAAGTCTATGTAAATATATATTTTTTTCATGTGATAATTAACAGTAGTGTAATGTGGAAAATAATTAACTAAACATGGCTCACCGCTGGTCATCAATTTCAGAGTCACTTTCAAGGTCAGGGTTGTCTTCATAAGACCGTTCAGACTCAGAGATGATGGTCTTGAATGCTGCCACCATGTTACTCCCATTGTCAGTTATCACTGTGAGGATTTTCTCCTCTGATTTGGTCCACTCTTGCATGCATTTGTCCACACATGCCTTAATTAACAGTGCAGAGTGCGGGTGTGCTACTTCTTCTAGAGCCAGCAATATGTGTTCAGGTTTACTTTGTTAATCATTGAAGTAGCATGCCGTTATAGCGAGGAATGAGGCTGTCAATCCTTTTTTTGTCCACAAGTCAAGGCCAGTGGATATTCTCCGTGCAGCAGCCAGTCTCTCTTTGAATGTCTTTCTATGCTCTGCATACTCTGTTTCAATCAAATTGCTTATTTTAGTTTTCTTTGGAACAGTCAGTCTCTAATCGATTACCTCCATCAATTCCACAAAGTCCTCATCTTCTATTGTTGTGACTGGTAAACCAGTGCGCCCAATCCATTGGGTTATGGCCTGCACCCTGGTCTTTTGATCTCTGGACTCAGATTTGTGCTTTGTACTAGTCATTAAAGCCTCAGGGAGGGTGGTCTGGCCATCGGGCTGGGCCTGGGATGTAGTTGCCTCTGCCTCTTCCTTTTCTTTAGTCTTCTGAAGCTGTGAACAAGGGAGGGAATCAAGTACACATACATAATGTGTCTATGGCAAGACTTGGTTTTATATATTGTTTTGTTTTATTAAACACCATTATAATTAATTTTCTTATTTTGATTCATAAGTCCCAAATCTCCCAATGACTGAATGTCAGTCAGTCTCCAGGTTTTCTTCAATACATGTATGACACTGATTTACTGATTTACTATGACACTGTCTGGCTTTGGCTTATTAGGAGTCCACTATCCTAGTTGTTCTCAAATGTTTTATTTGCATGGTCCATTTGTACACATTACAGAAGACCTGTTATATTCATTCAAATTCAGAGATATATGTTGGTGTTACTGGTAAATATTATTGTATTCTCATTTTAGGTGTGATTAAAAGAATGACAAAATGTCCACCAAAGTCAGCATTATGATGATGACCCATGTCTCTCTCCCTCTCTCTCTCCCACACACACACACAAACAAACACACACACACACACACACACACACACACACACACACACACACACACACACACACACAATCCCATGATATACAACATCCACTCTAAAATTTAGTTATTCGTGGCAGTGGCACACATTCATTTTCATTTGTGGGCAATGCATTTAATTGCATTCAAATAGTCAAGAGAAACAACTGATTAATCTAGTCTTAATTTACTATTTCAGTAGTACAGTAGCCAGTACCACTTTACACAATGTATTCTCCATTTCAGTTTATGTCACGGTGGTTTATCTGATTAAAAAAATAACATTGACATGTGTGACTGTGTGCTTACCTTAGCAAATATTGCTGGGTTGAGTAGTCTCCAAATGTCGCTTCAAGTTGGTGGTGTTTTTCCCCTTCAGTTTTAAGTCACAGAGTGTGCAGAGGGTCTGATCCTCCTTCTTGTCATATGTGAAGTTTGTCCAAACGTCAAGTCTCCGTTTGCTTCCAAAAGGCTGATATTCTAGTTCCGACATTTTGTTCTCTCATTGTTGCAACCACGACGAGTCATGCCGTTCTAAATGTACACGCTGCGGCGGCACTGCACTACTGAATGCAGAGTGTCTGGCGAGTGGAGTGGAGTGTGGAAAAGAGGACGAGTGGAAAAAAAAGTCTTAGTAGGCTTAGCTGTAGTTTTTCTCCTCCTCTAACAGCGTGTACCAGTGTTTACTTTCTGCGTTGCAACATGTGCTGGCGGCCTGGCTGGCCTAATATGGCTCTGCTTCCTGGTGGATCAACCTAATGTGACAATTTGGCGCGTTCTGATTCAAGCCCACAAAAAGATTAGCTCTGATTAGATCTCAAATCCATTTGTCCCGCCCTAACATTTTCGTATAGTCTTATTTGTTGACTAACGTATACTTTTTGTCTCCGTTATCGTCATGCATAGACACATTTCGTTTGTCTTCCTCTTCGTCCATGAAAAAGGGTCGTTGACGATTATTTTTCGTCTTAGTCTTAGTCTACGAAATTAACACTGAGCAATGCTCAAACAACGCCCTAATGCTCTTCCTCTGTAACTGCTATCTTCGTGATAATGCGATTGTGAGAACCACAAGTCCCGGCTAAACACAATGATACAATTTCTGTGTTTGTGGAGCCAAAAATGCCTTCACTAGGACAAGTTAAAAACATGTCTAGTTTGTGTTTCCTCTGAAAATCCTCCTCTCAGGATTATATCAGAGTCAATGGAGAAAGCTGGAGAAATTTTGGGGATACCTGTGGCAGTTGGTGTCTGCCCAGGCCACTGTGTATGTCTTACAGCTTTGATTTTTGAGATGAAGAGTGACAACGAGTGTTTCCATCACTGTACTAAATATTACCTGTGTAGAGCGAAGTGAGTTGCCACAATCCTTTTGTAAAGACAAAGTTTTGAGGATAAATTTTCAGCCTCTCTCACTCTAGCGATGAGGTCACGCACTCTAGCTGCCCTTCTCTTCCCTGCCATGCTCTTCCATGAAATACACACTAATGTTAAAACCTGAAGAGGTCAGAAAATCCTGTGACTGTTTGAACTGTCACTGTGAGAAATGAATGAATGCTATGAAGATGGTGAATGAATGAGTGAATGTCTGAAGATGTGTGAATATTTTAAACTTTGAATGAAGTTTCTAGGTGAATGTATAAATGAATGAGAAGAGGTTGAAGTTGACTACTTCTGAAGCCCTTTTCCCATTGACTCCCATTATAACAAAGTTTGGAAAAAATCTTAATAGTTTGAAAAGAACAAATGGGATTAAAAATGTTGAAGATGTGGAATAATGCTGACGAATTTGTGAACATTTTGGTTCTTGAATGAAGTTTCTACATGGAAGTATAGAGGAATTGAAGGCTTTTGAAGTTGTGTGATAAAATGTGAGAAAAGAGGCTGTTCCGAACATTCCGTAATGCATTTCTAATTGAGAAATCGGTCGGAAAACCTGGAATATCTCGGAAAGTAAGAAATGAGTTAAGGGCCAAAAAACGGTAGAAGTCGCTATGATAATAATAAAGATATGAATAACAATAAGTGGAAATGCTTCGCAATCCCACTCAATAAAGATATGAATAACATATAGTGGGAATGCTTCGCAATCCCACTCAATAATAATAATAAAGATATGAATAACATATAGTGGGAATGCTTCGCAATCCCACTCAATAAAGATATGAATAACATATAGTGGGAATGCTTCGCAATCCCACTCAATAATCAAGATATGAATAACATATAGTGGTAATGCTTCACAATCCCACTCAATAAAGATATGAATAACATATAGTGGGAATGGTTCCCTCTCAATTATCCGTGTTTTCAAAATAAAACTTTAATCTGGGTTAAAGCTCTAAAAAAAAAAACAAAAAAAACCCTCTCAAATACCTAGCAGCTTCAGCAAGTCAAAGATATCCCAAATTAAGCCTCAGGCAGTGACAGCTGTTTTACATCAGTCTGTCCTCAGTGGTGTCCTCACCTTATACCCATTGTCTTCTTTGGGGTTGTGAGACGCTGTGATCATCACTCCGGCCACGGCGCCCAGCTTCTTGACTGCGTAGGGCTGAAAACCAATTTTATGATACCTTAATAATGTCATGCTGCAGAAGATGATACTGTTCCAACAGCATCCACAGCAGAAACTGATGTGTAAGTGTGTCCTCACCACATAGGGCGTCGGGACGAACGAGGAAAATAGATGGACAGTGACGTCTCTGCTGAGCATCACAGCTGCTGTCAGCTTTGCCAACCTGAAACAAACAGAGAAAAGTACTGAAAATGATCTTATGTCATCCCTAAGGAATGAGAAGGGACCACTCAAGGCATGATGACAGTAAAAATAAGTTTCAGAGCTGAATCTGGAGCCTTAAGACCAATCAGTACATTTACACCATAAAATGTATATATAACGGAATTTATCTGCTTCCTCGCATGGTGAAGCTTCTGGAGAACAGCAATCTCTGGTGAGTGGTTGCAGGATAGGTCATAAACCCCGCCTCCTCCGGCAAAATGAATAGAGCTGTGGACATACTTAAAAATGAAATAAAAGTTACATACAGTTTTCTCCCCTGTGCCTGTGATGGTGACATGTAGTTATTGTAAGACTGGTTTGTGCTCAAGTCCTCTTTTTTCAGTGCAGCTCCATTTCTTAAAGTTAAAGGAATTAATTGTACAAATCTGGCTTCAAATTTGTACAATGACGGGAGGCGGAGTCACAATGTCCTTACAAAATATAGTCTTTGGTTTACACATACAGTCAACTCAGAGGACCTTCCAGACTGAATCAGTGGACCTTCAGTCAGAATCAGAGGACCTATAGTCAGACTGAGTGGACCTACAGTCAGAAATCAGTGGACCTTCAGTCAGAATCAGTGGACCTTCAATCAGAACCAGCGGACCTACAGTCAGAATCAGTGGACCTAAGGACAGAATCAATGGACCTATAGTCAGACTTGGTGGATCTTCAGTCAAAATCAGTGGACCTACAGTCAGAGACCAGAGGAACTTCAGTCAGAGACCAGTTGACCTACGGTCAGAACTAGCAGACCTACAGTCAGAATCAGTGGACCTAGAGTCAGAACCAGTGGACCTTTAGTCAGAGTTCGGTTGACCTAAAGTCAGAATCAGTTGACCTTCAGTCAGAATCTGTCCTGTTTCTCTCTAAGTGTATCCTGCTGTGTTTGCAGAGACAGACGTTTTTACCTGATAAAAAAATCTGTGTTCTCTGTTAAGTAAAGCGCCCTCTCTCTCTCTGCAGGGATCCTATCTGTAAAGCTTTTAGACTCTGAGAAGAACAACCTGGGCCTAACAGGGACAAACACAAGAACTTTTTCTTAAATTGACTTTTACTGACTCATGTTGATCCACAGAGGATGGCGTTGTTGACATTGCGAACAGTTTACCTGTTGCAGGAGGAAGAAATCTGCTGCAGACACTCACAAACTTTGAGTCCCAAAACATGAAAAAGGAGCTCCTATTTTACAATGAAAGACCTGCCCCCTTATCCAGAGAGATTCTGCATGTTTTTATTCACCTCTTGCTGCTGCAGCCGCTCTCCTCCTGTCCTCTGGTGTCATAACCAACAACCACTCCTCTGCTGCTGAAGTCTGCAAAATACCTGGACAGGTAGGAATACAACCCCTATGGACAGACACAAACACAGAAAGACAGAGATTGTGACTCTTATTGTGTCAGGAGCTATAAAATAACGTGAAAACATCCAAATAAAAACACTCAGATGTGTTGTAGATGATTGAAGAAAACAGATCACTGAAACTATGAGGCAATGATCAAAATATCTGCTGATTTTCTGCCCATCAGTGTACAAGGCTGATTCTAACATGTAAGTTATAATCAGCCTTTTCAACCTATGGACTCACTTATACTGGTCTGAACTGGTCTGACCTGTGTGGACTGGATGACAGTGAGGTCATTGATCCGGTTAAATCCAGCTCCCATCGCTGCTCTGAGTCCCGCTGTTCCGAAGCTCATCCTGCTGCAGAGTCTCTTCCTCAAATCATCATGGCGATCCGCTGCCACCAGAGACTCGACCTGAGCACGAGTCCTGGGGTTCTGCACACAGAGAAGAACCAGCACAGTCTGAGTTCTCAGCCTGAGAGATCAGGATAATATGATCAGATGAAAACACTCAGATGGTACAAAAACTTGGGATGAGACTGTTGAAAAGAAAAGCAGGAAGTCAGATAAATTAGGTCATCTGGTTCGGTTTTTGGGCAGGAAAAGCCTGTCCCAGTGGCTGCAAAAACAAAGTGTACTGCTGTGGAAATCAGGCACAAATCCCTCACTCTAGATTCAGGCATCAACACCCACTCCAACAAAACTGTCAGTTGTCTCTGGTTTTGTTTACTTTGTTTATCATAAAAGGCAGTGTTTCCCCTAGAATTTTTTTCAGCGGCGGTGTGGCTGTGTCCGGGGGGGTGGGGTGTGGGGGTTTGCTGTTACCCCAACTCTCTTGCTGCTCAAGGAGCTATGCTGTTACGTTCACGTTACGTTACCCGCGCTACTCGCTATAGACCGTGTATAAGCTTGAATGTAACCCTTCACATTAATGGAAGAGGGTTCGACAGGATTTGGTGTGCTTGTTGATCACTCAAAACAAGTCGAAAATAACATTGTGTGTTGTTGTGCTCAGATAGTGCGAGTAGAAATCAGTAGGGGATGAATGAATGTAGTGGAAACACTGAAAGGTATCAAAGTGAATACCATTCACATCAAAAATCTACTTATCGGAGCTTTAAAATGTTCATAATTTAAAGATAGGATGAAAAATAATGAATTAAAAAAATCTGACAGCCTGCAATGTGTATGTGTGTGGGTGTGTGTGTGTGTGTTTGTGTGTGTGTGTGAGAGAGAGAGAGAGAGAGAGAGAGAGAGAGAGAGAGAGAGAGAGAGAGAGAGAGAAGCAGCAGCATCGTAATGAGCTCCTGAAAATGATCTTTTTTTGTTTTTGAGATGAGATGAACTTTCAATTGTATGTCGAACTTTGAAGGACACTTTTAGAGGAATTGCTTCACTAAAGTAGAAGAACGGAAAAGAAAACACCAGAGAAAACTTGGAAAATTTATCTGAACTCAGCAGCCCAGCAGAAAAGTTCAGCCAAGTGACGAACTGACAGTGAGTCAAACTGTCCTGATGACGATAAACAAACACTGATTCAAAACACTATTCTGATTCCTACAAGAACGGAGACATCAGCAACCTGATCTTCTTCACAGAGCAACCACTGGCATGGCACTCATCTATCAAGACACACTACCCCTCTGTGAAGAAGGGAGGCATCAGTAATGGATGAAAGCTGAAAGTCAGAGAGGCAGAAGACCCAGACTCTCCCATGACTTCAGTCAACATCTATAAGAACAGGACCGTCATGGTGCAGAGGAACCTCAGGCAGTTTGAGCTGGACTTCCCCCTCATGAAGGAAAGAGTCCAGCTGGAGAAAACCCCCCTGCCTGATGACACCCCCACCCTGCCGGACACAGACACCACCTCCACCCCCACCTGCCCTCCTGCTGACCAGCCCTCTGAGAAGACTGAGCCCACCAGCGCTGAACAGGCCCAGGACCCGTAAGTGACCCACACCATCACCGACATGAAGGTGAAGTTCACTTAGATGGAGAGAGAGCTGGTCCAGCTGAGAGAGTTTATCAGCCATCAGCCGAGCCAGGAGGAGGCCCACAGCACCTGCACAGAGCTGAGCAGACTGAGACAGGACAGAGAAGAGGACCAGACTACGCTGAACAGACTGAGGACAGAGATCAGGAAGCTGCAGCAGCACCAGGAGAGCCACAAAGCAGCTCTGAGCGCCCTGACAGAGGAGGTGAAGGAGCTGAGAGAGGACAGAGAGAGTCACAGAGGAGAGCTGGCCTCTCTGTCACAGAAGCGTCAGGACAAAGACAGAGTCCCCCCAGGCCCTACAGGACAGCTGGACTCACACCCGACCACAACCAGGACCCTGGGAGCCTCACCCAGAATCACCAAGACCAAGAAACTCCACCCACCCAGCAGCTCCCCTCAAGTCTAGAGACCAGCGATTCTCCCAGGCCTGCCACCCCAACCCACTGGTCAACCCCAACCCTCGTCTATCCAGACCAGCGCAGCAGGCAGACATTGTCATCCTCATCAATTCCAATGGAAAGTTTCTAAATGAAAAGAAACTATTCCCCAACCACAAAATGTCCAAACTGTGATGTCCAACCAGCTGACAGGCCATGGAGCTGCTGCCCGAGGAGCAGCTGGGTTCTCCCAGCCACATTATCATCCACACTGGCACCAACGTTATGAGGACGCAGCAGGACAGAGTGTCAAAGTCGCTCAGAGGAGTCGTAGAGAAAGCCTCCAGCACCTTCCCCAACAGCAAAGTGGTGATGTCCACGCTGCTACCCAGGAGAGACTTCCACAGGATCAACAGCAGCATCTCCAGGGACTGGGTCCTGAGGCCCAACGTCCACCTGGCCCACCGTCTCTCTCCCAGCAGCCGCCTGTTTGTAGCGAGACCTCCAGGTGAGTGAATCGACTTTAGCGGGGGGACACAGCTCAAGGAAGAACATTAATGATCATTTCTTTACCATTTCCTTGAAGTAATAATCATTATAATAATCATTTTGCACTGCAGACGCGGTAGTTCTTCTGCCTTAGCGTCTCTGTCTGATTGCATGTCCATGAAGTAATAATCATAAATGTTCTTCCTTGTGCTGTGTCATCCCGCTGCAGTCGATGGACTCGTCCGGAGGTCTCCGTTCAAACAAGTGGCTGCTGGAAAAGAGAGAGTGAGTTGTGTTTGGTCTCTTTGCTAAAGAAACCAGGCAAAGCTAAAAAGATGTTTGGTGGCTAGTGCTATGGCTGGGACCCTATATGTACTGTTGATAAAGTTAAGTGCTGCTCTGAGCATTATTTGTAACTACGGAGTGGCTTGTTGGTTGAGCGTGTGGCTCTATGAATTGCTATCGTGCGGTCGTTACTAAAGTTGGTATGACTAGAGAAGAAAGCGGTCGGCAACATTCATCTCTCGAGGGGGTGTCTAACTCAGTGTTATGGTGTGTTTGACCCTAACTTAATTTTACGCCAGAATATCCCCAACTTGGTTTAAAATAAAAAAAGAGGTTGTCTCCACAGACAAAGACATATTCATATGTGCAGCCTATACCCCCCCCCCCCCCCCCCATCAGAGTCCCCTTATTATAACGAAAAAACTTTCCCCATTCTGGAAGACAAGATCAGCTGTTACCACACACAGGGAAACGTGCTGATCTGTGGTGACCTTAATGCCAGAACAGGCACAGATCCTGATTCGATTAATGAACAGGGAGACAAACACATCCCTGGTCAGATCAGCATTCCTCCACTTCCATATCTGCACAGAAACAACATTGATAATACTGTCAACAAACATGTGCATCAACTGCTGCAGATGTGTTGCACACTGGGTCTGTTCATAGTCAACGGTCGGCTTCAGGGGTACTCCTTCAGTCACTACACACACAGCTCTCCTCTTGGCAACAGTACAAGGTCTGTAATAGTTTTACAGACCAGGACCCCTTCTATATTAGGACATTCACTGCCCTAACACCCCTATCAGACCATAGCAAAATCACCCTGTACATTAGGAGGACCCCAACAAACCCCTATGTAACACAGCCCAGCAGGCTCAACCGCTCCAAACAGCCTTACAGGTTGACAAGTCATAGCAAAGATGACTATCAGAGAGCAATCGGGCATCCAACTATCCAAACCAAGTTAGACCATTTTCTCTCCACCTCATATCCCCACAGTAGAGACAGCCTCAATCAGAATGTTAGGAATAATAACGATATATTTGACCAAACAGCATCTCTATCTAGTCTAAACAAATCTAAATGTCATAGTTCTAACAAATCTACTGATGAAAAGTTGTTTGATTCTGGCTTCAGATCTCTGAGAAAAACACTGTTAATTATCCAATGAAAAACACTGGCAACCTGATAATAAGGAGCTCTGCCTTTGAAACTGGGAATCACTGAAGTTATACAGAAAAACACTGAGCACAAAAAGAAACAACATGAGCAGCATGTCCACTTTAGTCAACAAATAATTATTTATTACAAGAAAACATTTTTACAATGGTGGTATGGCTCTGTTCTCAGAGTTCCCTGCCCTTCCATGCACTTGCATGGAATTCAACAGCTATAAGAGGGGAGAGCTGCTCCCCTCCCTTTCATGTGCATACATAAAAAGCCAAGGCAGAGAAAGCAGCAGCAAATAAATACAATTAAGATAAATAAATTAAAATCCCCCCAACAGAACAGAGCAAGCATCAGTGACAAAACATATGACACTGGTAAGATCAGACATAACATAAACAGGAAGAACTGGGGTGGAGGTGGGTTGCAGAGTGGTTGTAGGAGAAACTGTTTAAATAAACATTTTGACATTAGCCAATAGGATGTGTAGAGGGCAATCACCCGAGCTGCCAGCTGACTAAGGGTAGTTGGGCTGACACCAGGTGACAAAGTCATGGATGAGGTTCCTGTACTCTTCCTCCTGACTATCCCTAATACAAACCACGATCACAGTGTCATCTGAGAACTTCTGCATGTGGAACAACTCTGAGTTGTACTTGAAGTCCGATGTGTACAGAGTGAACAGGACAGGAGAGAGCACAGTCTCCTGCGGAGCCCCGGTGCTGCTGATCACAGTCTCTGACTTGCAGCCCTCCAGCCGGACATACTGGGGTCTGTCAGTCATATAGTCCGTAAGCCACACTACAAGGTTTTGATACACACCCATTCCAGTAAGCTTGTCTCTCAGAAGCAGAGGGTTGGATGGTGTTGAACGCGCTGAAAAAAACAGGGAACATGACTCTCACTGCACAGTTGCCCCTGTAACGGATGCAGAGCTGAATTTGGACAATTTCCCTTTTTAATTCAAATCAAAAAAAAGGCCAGTCAAATTCTACCAACACCTCAAAGCCAGCCACCCCAGCTCCTACCACTACAAAGCCCCGCAGAGGCTTAGCTCCACCAGCACCAAGCACCAAGACCGCCCTCACAAAATCGAGCCCCCCCCCCCCACCAAATTATACCAAAAAAAAAAACAAAAAACATCTACATCATCTATTGGACATCTACAACCCAAACCCAAAGCAAACTTCAATGCTATCTGGCCCTTAACAGACAATACTCCATGGCAGATTATCTGAGTTCAGTAACTGACCCCAGACTGAGGAGAACCTGGACAATGTACAGACTCAGCAACCACAGCCTGGCCATAGAGAGCGGCCGCCACAGACCTGGCTGCCCAGAGAGGAGCAGCTGTGTCGGCTCTATCCTCACACTCTGCTGGAGACAAAGCAGCACTCCCTGTTACTCTGTGTCATATACACACACATCAGGACACACACATACACTGAACTCACACACATAACACCCAACCTCACCCAGCTTACAGACCAGGAAAAGTTTAGACATCTCTTAGGAGAACAAAGGGCCACTGCTTAAGAAGCAGTAAGATATGTCAATAAATGCCATCAAAAAAAAAAGAGAAGAGCTGCTGAATATAACCTGAGCAACTGCTTCCGGAGTTTGAACTGCAAACATGATAATCACACTATTTATTCCTTTTATATTATTATAATTATTGTTGTTGTTGCTGTTGTTGTCACAATTATTGTTGTTGTTATTGTTATTATTGATGTTATAATGTAATGCTTTGGCAATATTGTAGTCATGTCAATAAAGCTTATTAAATCTAAGTTGAAATTGAAAATTGAGAGGGAGAGAGAGAGAGAGAGAGAGACAGACAGAGTCTTTTTTCAGGCTGTTGACATTTACAGGGGAGGTCAGATCTACTCAAGGCAGCTATGACCTTTAAAAACTACACAGCTGTGTGTGTGTGTGTGTGTGTGTGTGTGTGTGTGTGTGTGTGTATGTGTGTTAATATTTTAACACTGACATACATATACAGTACATAAACACACATATGTCCACATGTGGTTCATATTCTTCATCATTTTAGGTCAGGTGCCTTAGTGTGAAAATAAAATCTTGCCTCAGATTTGACCAATCACAGATAAGTTACCTGTGATTTAATAAACCATGTGAGTTCATTCAAACCTAAACATGGTTTCAGCTGGTTGAAATAGTTTAAATAAGGAGTGACACCTGACAGCAGCCTAAATATCGTAGATCAGCTCTGAGGCTCAGAGGATAATCTAGATACACTACAGGCTAAAAGTTTGGAAGCAAGATCAGATTTGTACAAAAAAAGATCATAGTTTCATATATATAATTTGCAACACAATAAACATGACTATTGTGTAAAGAGTAACTTATCAGAAGACATTTTGATTATAATTATTAGGTATTTGAGTTATTGTTGCCAAGACTTTGCTTTCTTAGTAACCTCCTCTCGCTTTAAAGGGGCCATGGCATGAAAAACTGACTTTGTTAACTGGAGGGGGGTGCATATCAGGGATAGAAAACTGCTACAATCCCCCCCAAGTTCGAAAAAAATTCCATCCAGTTGTTTTTTAGTTGTCTCCGTATTTAGGAACTGTGTGCTCAGAGCCGGCTGTTCTGAAAACTCCACTGACATGACGTCTTGTCAGTGCTGGCGGGTTGATGGTACTGCCCATGGAGCCGCACACTGCCCTGCCCACTAAATTATCAAAACAGCGCCATTATTCCCGTCCGCTCGCTCGCATCGCTCCGGTTAGAACCCTGGCGAAAGTACGATCTGAAAAAGAGGCAGCGTTTGCTCTGTTGTTGGCTGCACAAACGAGCACAAAACTCTTTTGAAAACTCCCTCGTGAGAGGATTTGAGGACTCAATGGGTGGATTTTATTTATAATGGGAATGTACCCGCGGCACTTCCAAAATATCTGTACGTATGTGCGCACCATTTCACTTCGGACTGTTTTATCAACGAGAGACAGTTCAACGCTGGATTTGCTAGATGTCTGAAGATAAAGAATGGATCTGTACCAGCTATCCGTGATCCTACTACAAACGTGGCATCTGTAAGTATGAACGTTTTATTTTTACTTACTGTTTAGCCTAAATTCCCCCCAGTGCCTCAGCACGGCCACCACGCTTTGATAAACACACCGGATCCGCGCCGGTTAACCGGATCCTCCCGTATTTTAGCCGCTTGCTTTTTCCCCGACAACTCCACCGGCGGGGGACAAAATCCCCCTCCAGAGCAGCATGTAGCTTTAGCATTTACCCGTGCAGCGACGCGCCTCTTTTGGCTCAAATACGGGACGTCCCGGCTAATGCTGGACGGTCGGCCATCCTATTAATTAGCAAAGGCTTCAGAGAAGTTTTAGAGCACCAAAATCTTACATTGTAGCAGAGCTCTGGTTGTAATTTTTTCTACATTTATATCTTCCTCCTTAAGCGTGACCCTCCTGGCGGCTTTGAATAATACATAGGATGTGTCAACTAGGTCGCTTCAAGTCGCGTTTGGTCTGAACGCGGCTAAGAGTTTCTTCCCGAGCCTCTCCCTCTGGGTCAGACTCTGGCTCAAACTGGTAGGGTTGTATGAGCGATCTTCTTGCAGCCATGACCGAGCAAGTGTAAACATTAGCACATGGCTATCGGAGCACAGCCACAGCCCCTTCCAGAGAGATGGGTGTAAAGTGGACGTGGCTTAGGTGCAGCTCATTTCATTAAAGAGACATGGCCCAAAACGGAGGATTTTGAGCGGAGCTGTTTTTAGCTGATAAAAAGAGCACTAAAATAATTGATCCAAATCGAATTTTGACCGAAGGACGTCACAGACATGCTTTTAACACACCAAGGTACTATTTTAAGTTGTGTGAAATTGGCATGCCATGGGACCTTTAACAACAGCTTGGCATATACCAGGCATTCGTTCCACAAGTTTTCTAAGGCCCAGGGATTGCATTCCAAGCTTTCTTAAGTTCATTAAAAAGAGACTGCTGATTCGTGGTATGTGTTTTTCTGACTGATCGATCCAATTCATCCAGCACAAGCTCAATTGGAGAAAGGTCTAGAGACTGAGGGGGCCAAACCATCTTTTGAAGAACACCTTCCTCTTCTTTTTTGTCTAGGTAACCCTGACAGAGCTTGGCAGAGTGCTTAGGGTCATTGTCTTGCTGCAAAACAAACTTATGAGCCACAAGTCGGAGTCCAGATGGAACAGCATGGTGCTGGAGGATGGAGTGGTACTGTTCCTTCTTCATGATACCCTTTACTTCAAACTAATCTCCTACTCCATCACCTGCAAAACATCCCCATACAATGGAACTACCACCTCCATGCTGAATTGTGGGTGTAACACATGTTTCAGACGTTCACCAGTTTGTCTGCGGACACAGACTCTGCGTTATGAACCAAACAGTGCAAACTTGTTTCTAGTCATCTTAAGTCCAATTTTTGTGAGCTTTTGCCCACTCATATCCTTTTTTCTTGTTCTGTGGACAAATAAGTGTTTTTTTTGCAGAAACACAACCCTTCAGACCAGCCTTTCTCAAACGTCATGTCATGGTTGTCAGAGATATGGGTTTCGACCTTGTCATGTTGATTTTCTCCCTTATTTTTGGTGCTGTCTTTCACCGATCTCTCTTACCGGTGACAATGCTATATTTATCCTCTGCTTTTGTAGTAACTCTCTTTCGTCCAGGTCTTTTTCTATCATCATAACTTCCAGATTCCTCTAGTCTCTTCAGAGTGTAGTGGACTCCTTTGTTAAACACCTTTAGGCGTTTTGGAATTTCTCTTTCTGTGTATCCTTCTTTCCTCAATGTACAAATCTGTACTTTTGTTTCTTTACTCAGTTGCTTCTTTCTAGCCATTTTTGCGGTAGTTTGAACGCCGTTGATTTATCAGGATTTTTGTATGCAGACTCTCAAAAGCCAAAAAGTTGATAGTCCTTGAGCCGGACCAGATGTTGGTACCACTTGGGTGGGCAAAACCTTACATATACTAAATTGTTTTTAGGGTCAATATAAGTAAATTAAAATATGATAGACTTTTCATATGGGTAGCTTTTTATATTTTTTCTCATTTTGTTATTTTCCTCAATAAGCAAATTTTTGTTAACTCCAAAAGCAACACAGAAAGTCAAAAGCACATTAAAAGTCATACTCTTTTTGGGTCACACTGCTCTTTTCTATAAATGAATCAAACCTGTGTCTAATTAAATGAGTTGATGAAGTGGGAGTGGCCCAATTTGATGGTGGAGCAGTTCTTTCAGGTATCATAGCACTTGAGCCAAGAACCAAAATTTCACATATCAGTACCACCTGGTAGGGCAAATTCTAGTTGGGATTTTTTTGTTGCTATACATCCCTACAATAAGTTTTTATATGATAGACCTTGGTAACTGGTAGCTTTATTGTAGTTATCACTCATTGAAGTAATAGAGTGCAGCTGTTCAAAAATGAAAAATCGCCTTCCTTCAAAATTAGCTTTCTTTCATTTTAACCTCTCATTTAGGTGTGTTTGAACTATTGGCTAGCCATAGAGACTTGTAATAACCCCCTAAGTAGTATTTCAAGTAATTTATCTAATACAGGTGTGTATATATAAGCTTCAATTAGCCAATTGTCAGGTCTAAATCAAGGTCTAAATTAAGGATATTTTTTTACTTAGAAGTAGAAGTAAAGTAAGTGCAGACTAATAGCATTATAATAACACAACTTTAATATGACACTGACATATTTTCAATGCAGGAACTCAATATACAATTATCCTGGCTGGTGCAGGGCAAGAAGACATTAGCAACAAAATAAGATCTACTGATGTATACACTCAAGGAGCCGAGTCTCATTGCCATAGTATCAGAAATACACAAACATGGCGACGAGCACATCTAGCAGCGAGACAAGCGAAGAGGAAGAAAAGAAAAGAAAAAAAAGAAAGCAGCCTTCAAAAGTGCATAAAAAAGGAACAAAACAATGCCATATGCATCTATCACCTGTCCAGAGTGAAGACGTTCTCAACTTTACAAGGACACATTGGGAAACTTACAGAACTAGTATTAGTAAGTGGATTTCTCTACAGGGTGAGACAAAGGACCTCGCAGACACTTATAAACATTGCGTTGATATCGACTTTGACAATGTTCCTGATGACGCTTGGTTTCACATGACATGCTACCAGCGATTTATTTGCAAAAGGCGTTTGAGAAACAAGAACGTGATGCCATGGGTCAGTCAAACCCCTCAGGCAGCATCGCCGATGCATCCACGTCCACGGCATCTGAAACTCTGCGAAAGAAACTTCGCTCGAGGTCAAAGGCTGTATTGGGACAAAGGAAAAAGTGGGCAATACCATTCTGGACTTTGAGTTAAAATATCTACTTAGACTATCTGTCAGACTTTTGTCACCAGCCAGAAATGTACATATATGTGAGTAACCCAAAAAACAATTATATGGTGCCGCTGTTTTTGCTTGTAGAAACTGCTATGTTGATTCTGGCAAGACAAAATCTTTCTCACAGATTTATGTCGGTGCCAAGCATGTGAGAATGCTTCAAAGGAAACAGAAGAAAGGGCTGTATGGGATGATGACTCTGATGATAGTGATGTATAATATACACACCATGTCACCATGTACAATTTGTTTTGTTTAAAGGATTGCTACACTGAGATTTGAGATTTTTATTATTTTTATATCTGTTCTACATTTGTCTGCGTTTGTGTTTTTATCTTTATTTTCATATTCTGGAGGGATTGATAAATGTCAGATGTTTTGATACTGTGATACTTGAATAAATGTTTTATACCATATTTTGAATTAATTCAGACCTTTTGTGCATTTATTTTTGTCTTGTTACATTTTTTCCATTTTTCCAATTTTGGGGGGCGTGGTAGCAATTTGATTGACTTTCAGCAATTTATGGCCATGATGTGCTCTTTATATTTTATGTATGAAACATAAGCTTTTAGCTAAATTTACTGTATATATTTCATTGTGCTGGGTGCAAATCACTTGAGTTGAGACGTTTTCTTCAAGAAATTTGCTAAATTTCATAATCTGAATTCACTTATGCGTATACTAAGGCACCAATAACTGTTTCAGATGTTAGGTAGATGTATTTATGACATTTGAGAAAGATTTTGTCTTGCCAGAATCAACATAGCAGTTTCTACAGGCCAAAAAGCGGCACCATATAATTGTTTTTTGCGTTACTCACAAATATGTACATTTCTGGCTGGTGACAAAAGTCTGACAGATAGTTTGAGTAGATATTTTAAGTCCAGAATGGTATTGTCTATGCAAAAATGCATTATACAAGTAGCACCAGCGTAGTGGAATGAAATTCACTTTCTTGGCACTTTTTCCTTTGGCTCAATACAGCCTATGACCTTGAGCGAAGTTTCTTTCGCAGAGTTTCAGATGCCCTGGACGTGGATGCATCTGCGATGCTGGCTGAAGGGTTTGACTGACCCGCGGCTGCATCACGTTCTTGTTTCTCAAATGCCTTTTGCAAATAAATCGCTGGTAGCATATCATGTGAAACCAAGCGTCATCAGGAACATTGTCAAAGTCGATATCAACGCAATGTTTATAAGTTTCTGCAAGGTCCTATGTCTCACCCTGTAGAGAAAGCCACTTTCTAATACTAGTTCTGTAAGTTTCCCAACGTGTCCTTGTAAAGTGGAGAACGTCTTCACTCTGGACAGATGATAGATGCATATAGCATCGTTTCATTCCTTTTTTATGCACTTTTGAAGGCTGCTTTCTTTTTTTTCTTTTCTTTTCTTCCTCTTCGCTTGTCTCGCTGCTAGATGCGCTCATCGCCATGTTTGTGTATTTCTGATACTATGGCAACGAGACTTGGCTCCTATTGGTCCACGTGACAAAAAATGCTTCACCCCTCTGCATATTCAATTGCGCGTGTGCAAGTATCACTACGCCGCAGAAAGTTAATAGTTCGACACCAAAACACTGATTACTAAAAATCGACAGGATGGCATGACTAGATATTTTTTTTTAGTACTTACTATCAATAGAGCTATTTTATGAATCACAGTTTATGTTGCCCTACTGAAGTGGAACGAACCAACACGATCTCGCTCAGCCAATACAGCCTATTGTGCCTTAATAATAGTTAAAGTTTTTATTTTCTAATTTGGATTTTTTTTTTTTAACTTTAATAGCTAGTGGAAGTAGAGCAATTCTATTGAGGGACAGGACATTTTTTCTTTCTTTGCAAAACATTTCACAGAAAGATGTTTAAAATTCCATTCAAAAAAAAATATTTTTTAGTGTGTTTATGTCACTTGACACCTAAATGATGAAATGTTTTATTGTTCATTTTTTTTTTAATTTAGTTATTTAGTTAGAATTTAGTCAGAGTGACACGAAATGGCAAGCTTTCATAGAATGACCCATTTACAGTCACTTGAAATGCTTTTTCCATGTAGATGAAACACAGATAAGACAATAACCTTTTGCATTTACTCCTGGATTTGTTTCCGTGTGGATGGGTTGATACCGCCTTCAGAGAGACTTTGCAGCGGGTAGGGTTGGGTATCGAGAATCGAGTATCGATGAGGACCGGGACTAACATTTCGATTCTTCCGGTATCGTTCAAATATTAAAATTTCGATTCCAAGTTTCGATGCCGGAGTCCGCCGACCGGAAGAAATAGCCACCGAAAATCAACGAAGAAGCTGCCGAACACCGAGGACGGAGCGTATGAGACGAAGCCACACAGAAAGTGAAGAGAGACAGAGAGAGAAAGTACATTGCAACCCACAGCAATGCAGCCGCTGTGGGTTACAATGCGCTCTCTCTCTCTGTCTCTCTCCTCTCTCTGTGTGTGGCTTCGTCTCATATGCTCTGTCCTCGTTGGTGTTCGGCAGCTTCTTCTTCGTTGGTCAAAAGTTTGGCTAACTTTAGCAGGAAGAATGAACTCTTGTCTCAATGCAACATTAGCAATACAGTTATATCATGCAAAGGAGGGTAAACGACCAACATGATTAAACACCTCAGGATTCATGGAGGAGAAATACCCGAGTGCCCGTCTTTGACGCGCTTCACCGGTGTTGTGCCATAGAATGCATCCCTGCTGTAGAATGCACCCCTGACAGGAGCGCGGTTGAAAGTACATAACAAGGCGAAACAATCCAAGTTTTCCTTCCCATTGAACAGAATCTAAAGCGTGTGCCTTTGATGATTTCATTCAGGCTATTCAGATATGCCGAAAACAATAGCCCTCTGATTCGGAATATTTACTGTCCCGAAAATATAATGTTTTCTACATTAACAGCTAACTGTACAGTTTATATACCCAAGTACACCTCTATGTGTGCTTTTTGAGACACATAAAAACAAAACGAAAGTTTACTGCTCCATTTGACATGTTTTCATGATCTAATACTCGTGTTTTTTTCTTAAATATGAGATCATTGTCTTCCACTTTAAGAAGCTAATGAGTGGAGGGGAGGCATTCTACAGCAGGGGTGCATTCTACAGCACAACATCTGTCTTCCGCTAAACAGTCAGGATCAGATAAGTGAAACAATAAATTACTTCTGTCCTCTGCAAACTTTGAAGCAGTAAACAAATTGCACTGTGTACGATTAATAAACTTAAATATCCAACTAACGTTAGCCCTTGTACTTTTTCATAGACAAACGACCTGACAACAAAAATTGATATTTATATACTGGTTCAAAATAGCCCTGTGAGAAATCCATAGTAAAGTGCTTAAAAAGTTAATATGATTTAAAAATTCATGGAGAAGTTCAGAAATTTCATCTAAAAAGAAGAGCTCCGGTTAGCGCCGTCATTCAAACCGTGCTTTTTAATTTTTTTATATCCTGCCTTTTAAAAGAATCGAAATAGAGAATCGATAGGAATCGGAATCGAAATGAGGAATCGGAATCGTTCAAAATCAAACGATACCCAACCCTAGCAGCGGGGAGTGATTTCCTCTTCATCTGAAACTGCAAAGCCGTACCAATTCCATACAACTAGGGATGTATATCATTAGGATTTTCACGGTATGGGTACTGATACGGATACTGTTTATCAGTGTCAGTCTTTATCAATACCGTTAACGATACTTTTGTATTTATTTTGGTGAAAAAAGTAAACATTTGTACATTTGTGCGTTTATAAATTTATGGCCCCCTAATATGTTGTCATGCAGCGTGTGTGATAACCTCCATCATTGACCTCATTATTTCAGATACAACAGCAGTGGGGAAAAGAATACGTGTGAGTAAATAACAATAAATCTAAAAACATCCGTCCAAGTGGTTAGCTGGTTTACTGGAAGATTTTATTTGTACATATGTCAACGCGTAAACAGTGATTTCCTCACACTGCCTTTTTTTCTTTTTTCTCCATCATCTGATGGTCACATGTCATCTGCAGACACGTTTGGGGTTAAGAGGAGTTTTCTAATCTGCTTCAATAAATTCTGAATGATGACTGATATGCCGCATGAAACTTGAACCTGGAGCTTGGCAAATATTAGTGTATTGCTTCGACTTCATGTTACCTGACTATTGAGGCCGTCCGAGGAAAACTTGTAACGTTCATAGAGAACGTCATCAGGTAAATCAAACGGATTTGAACGATTCTGAATATAACGCTCTCGGCGAAGCGCTCCTCTCACCATCCGCGCAACGATGTCAACAATCTTGGCCCAATCTTTGACCAGCCCTGGCATGAACAACATGCTGCAGGGGTCAGAGGTCAGAGGGGTCAGGGTCAGAGTTGACACGCTGCCTATAGCGAGCGCTTTTAACTTTGCTTAGCAGTGGCATCTGGTAAAATAAATTAAAATGACTTAAATTGATACATGAGAGTTAATAAATTGCTAACAACGGCATAAATACCTTAAGTGAAATGGCATGCTTTTAATATTTTTTTTCTTATTTTGTACAGAGATGACCTAACCATTATTTCAGAAATGTTAGCAAAATGACTCATCAAATAACAAAAAAAATTGAAAATAATACTAAAAATTAAGTACTTAGTGTTTATCAATCATCAATTGAATATAAAAAGCGTAAATACTGCCAATCGAGGGCATATATTTATGATGGAAAACAATCTGCAGTGGTCGCACCACATGATAATTGGTCGCACCGCATGACATTTCAAATTCAGTCAAATCTTACTGATACAGGATTAGTCACATAAACAAACCTCACTAGCTTCCCACAAAAGGTCACTATGAAATTTATAATTAAAATACTTATTTGTGGAAATAACTTAAATTAATTGTTTTTTTTGAGGTCATACCACATGACATCGAAAAGTGCAAACACCATTACAGCAGTTGAAAAGGTCTTTTTTTTTTTAAAGAAATGAGAGAGCCACCAACCCTCTTTCTGCTTCCATAGATCTACGACAAAATGGTGAATGATGCAACATCCTGTCCTTGAGTAAATTTCAGCATAAAAGTGTCAAAAATTGTCATTTTTTGATGGTCGCACCACATGATATTTGATGAAATTGACAAAATCGGACAAAATTCGTTTGTATATTATGAAAAAAATATAACAGCAAAAGCTTTGCAATTTTGTACAGGAATAAAAAACACTTTCAAAATTATGCTGAATATTGCAGAAACTAAATTGTAATAGATTTAGAGTAATTTCAAAGAAGTTTTCAAAACAGAAGTCATGGCTGGACGGTCGCACCACATGATATTTTGACCCTTTGAAGTTCAGAAAAATTACAAAAAACTCCTGATTTTTGAAAAGTTGAAGTGGCCCCATATATAAGAGAGATACTACAAATAGATAGTATATTTTTTTACATTTAAAACTCTTTGTAACATAAAGAAAATACAGCCGGACAGAATATTGAGGCTTCACGTCATTGACCCATATACTATGGACAACCTGGTTCCGCCTTCCGCCTGTATAAGGATTTGAAGCCAAAAAGCTCTCGGTATTTCCGGGTTTTTCTCCACCTCCTTGATACCAGAGCTGCGCAGTAGCGATGCGCGCATTCGGCCGTGCAGTCGCTGAGAGTCCCTGTGATGACGCTCGGCTCAAACAGCGTATCCCCCTGAGTGAGCTACGCAATCCCTGAACGCCCATAGGCTGTACCAGGTGTCAATCATACAAAACATGAACCCCCTAATAACTTTTAAAAACGGAGCTGTACAGAAAAAAAAGGACTTGGGCTCAAACCAGTCTTTCAATAACTACATGTCAACATCACAAGCAGGGGGGAGAAAAATGTATGTTCTGTGTAATAAATTTCTAAAGTTTGTCCACAGTCCCATAAGCTTTGCTGGCGGAGGCGGGATTTATGACCTGTACTGCAGCCCACCATCAGAGGGTGCTGTTCTCGGAGTGGCTTCACCCAGCGAGGAAGCAGACTCTGTCCATTCTTTATACAGTCTATGGTTGGATGCTGCAGAAATCTGTTTTACTATTTGTACATTTAATGGGAACATTGTTACACATTATTTTAAGGCATTTTCTTTTCAAATTCAATTATTCTTATCATAAGTTCTGTTTATTCACATAAGTCATATACATTTTTCACTTAGGCTATTAGACAATTTGTACATTAATCCAACTAATTTACCTTCAGCTATACTACAATTCTTCCATTCAAACAATTTCTTCCTCTTCTACTCCACCTTTTCAACAGTTTTTCCATTCATACCTTCCTCCATTTTTCATTGTCAGTGTAGCATTGCTTTTTCGGCTTTCAGCACTCAGCATTTCCACGCATTTTCTGCAAGGAAATGCTATTATTCTAGTTGAGTGGGATTGCGAAGCATTCCCACTATATGTTATTCATATCTTTATTATTATTATTCAACACACTTCCACAGTTTTTTGTGCTTCAACTACTTCCACATACTTCAACGTATTCAAACCATTCAAACTTCAAAATATTCATCCCATTGATGACATTCCGGCTTGTATTCATAATTTCCGAGATATTCCAGGTTTTCCGACCGATTTCTCCCATTAGAAATGCATTACAGAATGTTCAGATAGGCCCTTTTCTCCCTTTAATTCAAAAGCCTTCAACTTCGCCATACTTCAACATAGAAACTTCATTCAAACTTCAAACATTCACCCACTTTCAGACATTCACTCATTCATTCACCATCTTCATCGCATTCATACTTTTCTCACAGCGACAGTTCAAACAGTCATGGGATTTTCTGACCTCTTACGGTCCTTACACACCAGCGAATTTGCGGAGCGAAGCGAAAAAGCAAGACGAAAATGCGAATATTCACCGGTCCGAAAAATTGCTTTCGCCTATACACACCGGGCGCGAAGCGAATATGCATATACATTTTGCAAAGCGAATTAATAAATATATATTGTCTTTGGCACAAGCTCTTTCGCGCTACGGAGGAGAGGAGAACAAAGAAATTGAGTCAACAAAATCCTCAAGCGATGATGAGCTCGTTGTGATGCTTTTGGCAAAAAAAAAAGAAGACAGAAATATGAACAAAGGAGTGTTTGGGTACATCCCATATTGGCTTTGAGGAAGGAGATGGGTGAGTTCCACACCACCATCCAGTGGTCCTGTACCGCAATTACCAGCCTTTCTCCCATCGTTGCTCTTCGTGCCAGTGGTGGTGTGTGTCGTGTGAACTGCAGCCGCATGGGTCTGTGACGTCATCAACAACATGACTTTTGATTGGCCAGAGGTCTAGCAGGTCCAGATATTTGCCTGCGAATATCCGAAAAATTCGACACAAGAGCGAAAAAATAAAAGACGCTTTTCGCCCCGCCGGAAAACCGCTGCACTGCTGAAATCTTGAGGACAGTTAACCTGCTCTGATCTTACCTCTTTTTGTGAATGTTAGAATGGCTTCTGTCTGTCTCAGAGATATTTTTAGCTTTTATTGTGCTGGGACGTTATTGTGGCGACAGATGAACACAGAACACGTGTTTTGGTCGACATCATCCTTCTTTTAACCGAAATAATTCCAGATAACTGACTTTCCTTTTCTTTTTGGCAACAAATCTTCATTTTCGGTGGTTTTCTCTGTTTGTTGCTCATTTTGCAATCGTTGTTGTTGTTAGCAGTGTTGTGCCGAGAAACGCATGTCCTCCGAGAATTGCATGCACCTCGCAAAACGCGCACCACTTATAGTAGAGTGGTCCACCGAAATATAAATTTTAAAACCCATACAGTTTTTACTTGTTGGGCTTAACAGTCATAAGTAAAGTTCCGAAAGTAATTCTCAGCGGACACGCATTTCTCGGCTCAACACCAGCAGCCAGCAAGTAACTACATGTGCAGAACATGTGCATGGGTGGGTTTCCTCCTCTCTGATTTTGATTGACAGCTGGCAGGGTAGTCTGATTGGCAACTGAGAACTGAGTCTGATTGGCAACTGAGTAAAGAACGAAGGTGATTGGTGGATCGCTGCACAGCACATGCAGAGTCACATGGAGTGTATCTCAGTCAGCTACCCTTGAAATTAACTGAGTTCATTCACCTCCGACATCGCAGGCTCTGCGATGTGACTATCGCACACACATACCGTATATACTGTATATCGTGCAGGCCTAATTCAAATTATTCAAACTTTGCTGATAATTCAAAGCTTCTTATCTTTAACATATTTTTAAAATTCAGCCATTCGCAATAGCAGCTTAGCGATAGCAATTTCAAATGATTCAATTCAAATTTCTTTTTTTTTTTTTACTTTTTGTGCCAAAATTTTAACATTGAAGTCAATGGGGAAATCTTCCAATTCTTCCTTTTATTCTTCAACCTTCTGAGCCTTATAACTTTAGCATACTTTCACCTAGAGACCTCATTTTTGCTTTAAAATGTTCATTCACTTGTCGACTATTGAACTTGTATTCACTTTTTTGACATATTTTACAGTTTTCCCACAATTTACCTTTAAGAAACTTATTGTTTTCAGCAAATTTCAGGCTTTATAATGGGTGTGTATTGGAGAGGCTAGAGTGTATATTTCATCGCTAGAGTGCAGAGCTCCTCTTGGATCGACAAAACCTGGCTCGAATATATCGCTACCACGCCGACAGATTTTAGTCCACAGCCAAAAAAAATACATTAAAATGGAGGTATATGTGTCCTTCTTCTCACAAAAGAGGTTTTAAATCATTAAATCGCCAGCAGGTGACCAACTGTCCGAAAATTACAAAGAACCCTCGCATTGGCCCTAATGTAATTTTTCTCCAAGAAAATCCTGATCATCACTCAGGCTCAGACCTTTTTAACTCGCTGTTGTGGCCACGTTTTTTAGAGTACAGACATGAAAAACACATCATTGTGTTCATGAAGGGCGGAGGATTCATACGATGTTCTTATTTTCATTCTGGGATTTAAAGAAATCACGCTATGTGAAGAAGTTCAGAGGCCCTAAATTCACTGCAGTTAGGCAGCTTCTCAAGTCAAACAGTAGGTCAGTTAATGCCTTTGATCTCACAGTGTAAAGGATGCTATCATTAACAAGACACACACACACACAGTCTGACAATGTGTGTGCGTGTGTGTCTCTGCCTATAAGACCTGCATGTACACACAGTTAACCATTCTGGGCTTCAAAAATTCAGCTTATTGAGGACATTACGGGGTGTTTTGAGGATTGTGATAATAAATTGTGTTCATGTGTTCAGCAGAGTCTTGTGGTTCTCACAAGCTCCTTATCATGAATATATACAGAGGTTGACCATCAGGGCCTAGCTGGAGAGCTATTTCCTCAGCTTCAAGCCTCCTCTCTCCTGCTGCAGTGACACATCTTCCTTCGCCATGGCAACCAATTAGTGCACCTGGAAACACACAGCTCAGGTAAACCTGACACCAATCTGCAGGTTATGCCCTAAGGAAGTTGCAGCGCCATTGTCTAACACGTCAAACCTACGTGCTCACCTCCGTAAACACCATCCAGCATCGCAGCTGGTTCAGTGACAGAGCAGAACAAATACATAGCATGGAGATGACTTGCTGACTCCACAATTCCCACCTCTGGGAACTGAGGAGCGCTCCTGCAAGGAACGGGGAGCCTATGGTGGCCTGGGGGCGCGAGCCACGATAGAGAGGAAAATCGATTTGACAATTTTCTTTTTTTTTTAACATTGTCATAATCAAATAATCCGATTACGATTTAGATTCAATTAATTGCGCAGCCCTATTATAGATGGCTTATATTAAAGCAATTCGTACAACTTTGATTTCGATTTTGGCTCCAAAAAATTTTGATAAACAAGTCTGAACAAGATTGTTCCTCCTGCTGTGTGCCTCTATTACGTCCTACATCATAATATAGCTCACCCATGCAAGGCCCCTCCTCTCAAACAGCTCCCACTTTCACTCCAGGAGTGGAGTGAGGAGCAGGAGGAAAGAGGAGAGCAGGAAGCGGAGCAAGAGGAAAGAGGAAGGCAGGCAGAGAGCAGGGGGAGGAGCAGGGGGAGGAGAGAGGTGGGAAGGGATGAGAAGAGGAGCAGAGCGAGGCAGGTGTCTTGGTGTGTCTGTAGAATCAGAACAGGGATGACAGGAGTGAGTCTGTAGTGATCACAGATGTGCAGGAGTGCTAACAAGTGCTAACGAGCACTAACAGGTGATAACAAGCACTAATGATCTAACAACAGTTGGGCTAAACAGTGGTAGACCTCATTCTGAATCTTAATCAAAATCAAGCCCACATCTTGACCTCATAAAGCCATTATATAACAGCATAAGTAGACTGAATGATTTGCTTGATTTGCAGAATGTGATAAAATGGTCTTTGATTCACAGCTTTTTAAAAATAGTAATCAACAGTAATAAACTTGTTGACTAGTCAAATAGTTGGTGGATCTCCTTCTGCATCCTGGAAGGCATATCACCTTGCATTGCTAATTTCAACTGGTGTAAAAAGTTACACACAATATGCACATTATACAAAAATGTGAACAGCTGACTCCCCAGTCTTTGCTGGTATGACCTAATGCAAACAAAACACCTGTCAGGGCCTCCCTGGGTAAATCCTCCCCTGGGGTCCGTTTCACGTAGCAGGTTTAATGGAAACTCTGAGTCTGTTAACCCTGAAATCAGGGAAACTCTGAGTTTTCCGTTTCACAAAGGAGAGTCAGTTAAACCAGAGAGAGAGGGGTAACTCTAACCTGTTTCACAAAGAGAGGTAACTCAACCTCGCGGTCAGTTACCATAGTAACAGACTCCGTGAACCTAACCTGCTCGGGACCAGGTTTAACTCAGTAAACCCAGAGTTTCAGGTGAGACATCGGCATTTTCTCATTTTGATCATGTTTTACATTGTCAAGTTAGTATTAAGTGGCAGTTTGATCCCTTAAAAAATGCTCTTTTCACACTCAAAAATGAATTTTACTCTCTTATTGTGTTCCGTTAAATGATTAGACGATCGCTGCTACGGGGTGGGGGGTTTGTGATCGGACCGGCCGCGATCGTCGAACGGGGGGGGGGGGGGCAGCTCCTCTACCTCCGTTAAAGGTGGGGCTGCTGGGCCACCACCCGTTTTTCTGGCATCTGCCCTCTTTCTGTTTGCTGAGTGAAAGTCTAATATTGAGTGTAGTGTGTGTTAGTTTAATATATGTACATATACATACTGCGAGTTAGTTTAATATTCCTAATCATTTAACAGAACATCATAAGAGAGTAAAATTTTTTAAGGGATCAAAATGCCACTTAATACTAACTTGACAATGTAAAACATGATCAAAATGAGAAAATGCCGATGTCTCACCTGTTTGTACAATGTTTTTATATTTAATTTTCAGCTGCTACCAAGTGCGTTTTTGACCCGCTGGATTGCACCTACATAAAATAAATTAATTTGCTCCATGCAAGCAGTTTCCCCTGCAACAGTCTGTCATTGTGATTGCACAAGACTAGATTTAAAGTTACGCATTGACGCGAGCAGCAATTTCTTCCCATGCCCTCTCTCTCTCCTTTGCAGCTGCTGTATTGCACTTTCTTTTAAAACCTGCTGTAATTCGCCGTTGGCTTGCGGCTGCCCCCTCCTTCTCCCTGTTTCCATTGGTTGATCAATGAATCTGGGCTCCACAGATGCTGGCTGTTTATGTCCGGCGTGCACGTGCTTAACTCCAGGTCAAACTACTCGGAGTTGCTAAAACTGACTCAAATCAGGTGTTCTGAAACCGGAAACTCAGAGTTTCCTATCTCAGAGTAGATCAACTCAGAGTTAAGGATTTGACTCAGAGTTTGTTGAACCACCTACGTGAAACGGACCCCTGCTCTCTTGTCTGTGTGACTCTATAAATCACAATTCACCAAATGAACAACATACAGTGTTAAAGACTGTAAACTACAGACTGAGACATAAACTCTTCAGGAAAGTGTTTTCAGAGGGAGGGACATTTTCTCATAGACTGATTTTCACAAAGAGCCAATCAAGCGAAAAAGTAACATAAAAGAAATAGCACATCTTTAAAAAGCCCCTCTTGGGTCTTCAGAAAGTCTTAAATGTTACAATCCAGAGTCATGAGCAAGGTGATCCAAGAGATCAGCATGTTGGTGATCATTTGGGAACAACAAAAGTATCATGACTCAGGGGCTATAACTGAATCAATACACTGACATTTTAAACTCAAACCTGAACATGATCCAGTCCAGTCTCTTCAAATATAGGTCATTCACGAGGAATCATGATGTAGAAACTTGAAACGGACATGAAGACCAGACTTCCATCATTATCCTGCTGCTTGATTCATTTTAGAAGAAGTTTCATTTCCATTCATTCATCTTTCATGCACAGCTACACAGAATGAAGGGCTGATTCTAGACCAGTTCAAGGCTTCTTCTCTTACATCAGTCTGATAAATTCAGTCTGGTTTTTGGTCCTAACCGTAATCTCAATCTGCCTGATGCAGAGTGGTAACTGAAGTATCCCTGGTGTACCTCAGGGCTCTGTCCTTGGGCCTTCACTGTCGTTCAGATATTTGGATAAAATAATTTATTTTAAGTGATTTTAATTCATTTTAAGAGTGTTGTTTACTGTGATTTCTATTCTGATGAAATGCAGCCTGATGCCATCAGGCTGTATTTCAACATCTCTATGAATTTAGAAGTGGATTGGTATGAAGTGTTTGCTGATGAAAAGCACACAACAGTGTTTAATCATTACAGATGCTGAATATGGATATTCTTTTGGGGATTTGAGTTTCAGTGTTGATGGCTGTAAATGCTAGTCTTATAACAATGTTGTTATTGTTAATGTACTCATCATCTTAATTCTTTTTCATCGTAAAGTGTCCCGGGGTCATGGCTACACAGTGACATTTCCTTCACATGTCATTTGTAAATGCCAAAGGAATAGTGCTCCATAGATAAATACATTTGGTTGTTTTCCCATAAATACAATGTTTTCTAATTTAGAATGGACCTACAGACAATCAAGTTAGAAATACAAACCAAATGTGGAAGATGAAAGCAGCCCGAGGACAGGAGGTCAGTTTGTGGATTCCAACATTTTGTATAATCTGGATGATGAATCAAGGCTAGAGGATGAGGATGGATTTATTATGAAGTCATTAAAATAAGCACATAGGCAGTACATGCCTTTTTGTGGTGTTATGGCAAACGGCAGAACGACGCTGATATTAGTCAGTTATACTAACCTCCAACATCCACACAGCCACAGGTTTCCTTCCTGCGTGCAGACGAGCCTGCAGGTCCGCACTGCGGGAATAACGCACTCACTGACACCGGTGAGACATAGAGCTAAAACCAGCCCACTCGCGCCGCTTAGTCCACAGTCAGAACTCCATTTGAAATCCCATGGTTTCAGATATTCCGGCAAAATGACGAAATTTAAGGGATCAAGGAGTAAACTTTCGGTAGAATCATAAGAAATTAGGTCAAGTCAAACGTCGGCACACAGACTTTAAACTCGTATTTGTTATTTTTCAATAGATTGAGTGTTTTGTAGCTGCTGCGTCAGTGATTCCTACACGCCCCCATTATCGGAAACTGGTCAAAATGCTCTGAAAGTTGGTCCATCACCAAATACAGTACTAATTTTACCGGGTAATTTCTGTGCCGAATTAACCAGAAGAACATTACTATTATCAGATAACAGTGTTTTCAATCGATTGTCGAAAGATAGATTGCTGAGATGCAGTGCAATTTCAAATCGATAATTTGACGGGGGAGGATTGGTGGGGGATTATGTCCGCACAGTCGTTTACGTCCGGCTGACAGACCTCAAAGTTGTCTTCATTGTAATGAACTGATACTCACCTTGTCCCAGGACAACCACTGGTGCACCACCTTATCTAGCTGCGGGTCGCCAGTGCTCTGGCACGTCGAGTTGGCGTTCAGGTCCCCGTTAACTCCGTTATCGTCTCCCATGCTGGCAGACCGGTCAAGGAGAGCTAACACTCTGCAACCTGAAACGGGGCCATCTGCACGGAGGATAAATGTAGCAGCCAACTAGCAGGCCTTACTGTGTGCGGTGACACAGCGTTAGCTCCAAAGTTTTAGCGCTCCCTGCTCCTGGACCTGACCCACATCTCCCCCGCGACCAGCTGCTGGTGGCGGTCCAAACTCTGCGCGTCAGACTTCAGCTCCACGCAGAGGCTGATGCTAGCTACAGGCTAAAGCCACAATAACATCAGGCAGTCGAGAGCATCCAGTTTAACTACTGTCGATCATAAATATTAATACTCATATGCTTTGGTGAAGTTAGACTTGGAAAAAAAACACAGGTTCATAAACATTAAAGGGGACCTACCATCAAAAATGTAATTTTGTGTGTTTTTGTGTCAGATAAGGTCCATATTATGTTCGTCTTATGTTGTAAATGTGAAAACAAACTGTTACGTCGTTTGCATTCTGTAAAGGTTTAAAAAAAAAAAAAAAAGAAACGGGTAAACCAGGCCAATTGAAAAAGCAGGTCCTTCTGACCAGTGGCGGTTCTAGACCCCCTAGCTGCTCTCTGCGTCCGTCATTGTTTACTTTACTCACGAAGCGCTTAGCAAGATCCGAGCGCTTTATTCGCCTATCAGAGGCAGACGGGTACGGTGATTTGATTCACCACGACTCCAGAAATGATTAAAAAACTACAAAATGACGTCTCCGCGCTTCCGGCTTAAGAGTAGCAATGCAGCCGCGCTCCCAGCTTGGAAAACTGATTTGCTGACATGCGTACACAGAGCAGAGCTGTCCCCCCGCGACTCTCTCCCCGCCTCATCTCACACCTTCGCAGCAAGCAGGGGCGCCTATAACAGCGGGTGGGGGGCACCAATTTGACAACAAGAGTTAATAAAAAACCGCTTTGCAGTTAAGATTTATTATTATTATCTTTTATTTTATTTTTTTGGAAGTGCTCGTGCCGCCCCCCATGAGTCATGACACAAATGCCGCCCCGGGCGGCTGCCCTGTTCGCCCGTGCCTAAAACCGCTACTGCTTCTGACGTCACGCTGACCTTGCTAATTATTATTCATAAGCGCGTCCTCGGTTAGCCGCGCCCACTCTCTCGTTCTCGTACTCATTCACAGTCAACATCACTCTCCAGCCAGAGCGAGACCCAGCTACCACTGTATCCACTATGGGTCTTTTCCAAACGACCAGTGTTTCCTTGGGTTCACTGCGGGGAAGATGAACTTAAAGCTGGGCAGAATGAATGAAAACACAGCTGGAGATCTCCGGCTTCTTCTTCAACTTCCACCTCCTCTTCGGACTCGGGGTCTAAAATATATGGTTTAATACCTGCCATTTTTAGCCTTTAGCATAAGGTGACCAGACGTCCCCGATTTCCGGGCACAGACCCCAAATTGGATGACCTGTCCCCGGGAAAAGCTGTCCCCGAAAATGTCCCCGATTTAATGAATGTGAGCAAAAATGTTGCATGTGAACAACGGTTATTACAGTAGCCGAATGGGTACGAAGCACAAGTAAGCAGTCCTGAACAACAGTTCTTACGGGGGTTATTACAAGGGGCATGCGCTGCTACTAAATAGTACTGAGATGTTATCCGTGATCACGCAGCCCCTGCAGCCCCTGCACCCTCCCCGCTGCCGCCGCACCGAATATCCCCGGCTATAATTACAGACATCTGGGCATCTTACTTTAGCACACATTAGCAAAATGGATAAACCGAAATCTGAACCTCCACTGCTGAGCCAATCAGAGCACATTTATTACCATAAATGTTAATGAGCCAAAATCTGTTGGTTTTCCTGTAAGGATTATGAAAAAATGATAAAAATGGGTATGAAATTTTGATGGCAGGTCCCCTTTAAAGTCGACAACCAAACAGACGGCAAACACAACTTCCGGTGTCGTCCAAAATAAAAGCTTTAATTTCGTCGGAGGCAAGCACATAGTTTAATCAATCGCTGCACAGATAGGTGCAAAATTTGATTTGAGAAGTTTATTCAAATGTTCCATATTAATAGCACACATTTTGGCATGGAAGTAAAGTAAACCACATGTAAATCGGTTGGGAAATGAGCAAGTTATGATTTATTTTTGATGTACATGCAATGCCTATAATGGGAACGTTGTCCCCATTAGCTTCGCCTCGCTGCAGTCACGCAGCTCAAAGGAGCTTGTCCTATCTATGTATTCATAACTATGATCCGCTGTCCTGTTCCGCTAAAAAAAGGAAGCAAAAATTGTGTTAGTCAACACTTCCATATGTAACATTTACTTGGTCTCTCAATCAAAGAACCCAAATATCTTTAATCAAATGGATTAGAGTTAGACAGAACCAAAAATGTTTAAGATTGAAAAAAAAATTACCTGAAAGTGCAGGTTAATCTTGTGTGCACATTCTTATAATTTTCTGGTGTCTACAAGTTTAAATCCTGTGCAAAAAAGTGATAAGCACAAATAATATTGCACTATATGATGTATGAAATACAAGTTTGTTGTATTTTCTACTTATGTTTTGATTGTGTAAAACAAATAATGCAAATCATGGTGGCTGCAGCCAGTCAGCATGAAGCCGGACTTGGGTTAAAGATAACACTTTGAGGTTGGCTTTAATAACAAGAGTCTGCAACAGGTGTGCAGAAATGACTGTTATTGATTTGTTGGTAATTGATCAGTGTATCAATAACTCACTCTGCAGGCACTGTCTCACTGTCCAACCTGCTTTAATTCATACAGATCCACATAAAAAAACTGGGAGATGACTGACGTGATCTAGACGGTCCTTTGTTAGACTTCAGTCTCCCTCTTGTTCTGCTTCGACCCTCCTCAATTCATGCAAACACAAGCATTCAAATGTGTTGCACTCTCTGAAAAGGACCTTGGAGTTTGTTTGGACTGCAGTCAGACCCACTTTTACTTCTCTCCATTGGAGGCTTTTGTGGTGGTTCAGGTGTCTGGTATCATGCACACGGCAGCAGATGTTGAGATCATCTTCTCTCTTATTATAGGGTTGGCTTAGATTCTCCGTAAACATCAATGTCCATGAGACTCTTCTAGCCAGAACCCTGACGGCCATGAGTCCACCTAACGACATTTCATCAGATTTGTGTTGCTGACCTCTCCTGGTTTTTCCTCTTCTTTCTGCTGTGAAATCTGAACATCTGATGATTCAATGACTCCACGTTACCTGAAAACTCCTGTGAACCTAATTTTTCTATCACATGGAGACGGCAAAAATAACCAGACAGTCTTCGTTTGGGTTTTTACGGCTAAAACCCCCAGGATCCGGAATGGCTGCCCTCCGATCCGGAATGGCAGATGGATCAAATACGCAAGCATTATAATTAATGTGTGTGATTCCACATAATCCATCCACCACCCGGCTCTGCTGCAGATTGGCTCCAGGGGCAGGATCAGACACGCAAGTCTTCTGTTTTTGCTTGACACTGCAGCATAGCGCATCAATTCAGTGCAGTGCAGCATGAGCAGCAGCAGCGGTTGTATGTGGCTACAGAGTAAAATATCCAGTTAATTTTCAAGATATAAAGTCAATACGTGGAACTGAGGCCAGGGTTGTGGGATGTGGGTGTTAATATACACCGCCGTTTATATACATGGATCGGCAGATCTCATTCAATGGAAACACACGAGATCTCGTCCAGTTCCGCGAGACATATCGGTAATATCGCGAGCGCCTCTCCTCCGATGGTGGAGGTGGATCGGATCAGGTGGGCGCTACATGCTTGCGTTAGGGCTGGGCGATATGGGAAAAAGTTTATCACAATATATTTTTTTCATATCAGTCGATATCGATATATATCACAAGATAAAAAATAAAATTTAACAGTGCTTATTGGTAGCATGTCTTTTGCAATACAATAAGCTACTGCATCTGTGAGGTCTTTGTGTCTCTTTAATGTTTTGTCATAAGCTGTTGTGCTAAGGAAAGTGGACTGAATAGTCGGCTGCACAGACGCCATGGGCTGCTTCCTCCACTCGGGGTTTGTAACCTTGTGCATTGCAAGTGCTCTGCCGCGTGGCACTGCTTCAGGTGGTGAAAAACGTTTGAGGTATTCTCCAACTGTGCGAGAACATGTACTCAACATAATTTGCAGTGCACATTACTCTGCTTCATGCCCAATCCCAAAAAAACAAAATACCTCCACACCACCAACGTTTTCTTGCCAGTTGTCGATGATGTCATCATCTTTGAGCCTTCATCTGCATTTCTGCTGGGGGTAGCACTCATTTTCTTTTTTTCTTACCGACAGTGCTGTAAGCTTCATGTGATCGCCTATGTGCACATGCGTGGCATGTGTGGCGTGTCTGGGTCCTGCACAGGTCGATGAAAGAGAATTGTCGTTTTTAACCTGTTTTTAAGTCACAAACTTAAGTTTTATCTTTGGTCCTATGGTGATTTCTTGATGGTTTTTAACTAGGAATCAAAGCTCTGATATTCGGATGCCACAATAAGGAGTTACGGACTGATCTTGCTAGACTTCTCAATACGGAAGTCTAGCAGCCTGTGTGTTTGTGGTCACCTCTCAGGCCACAACACTCTGTTTTAGTTTTCTTAATCGTTTTATTTTTATTTATTTATTTGTTGTCACTGGATTTTATTGCTTGTGGACTCACTCACCATCTCGAAGTTGAGGAAACGCATTGCCTCACTGAGACCAGAGGTAATGGAGAAAAATAACCTCTTTTTGGAGTTCTCTACTGTAGCCACGACCCAGGCCAAACACCTCACTGTCATGAGCGCCTCCAGTCATGGCTTTCCCAATGTGGCCTGCCTCTCCCGCTGCCCAGCTCCAGCAGCAGCTCCAGGAATGGTCTATGATTTCACTTTCCATGGTTCAGATCCATTACCACGGGTGTCTCAGAGCCCGGAGCTGCTTCAGCCCTGCCAGAAGATTCATGGGTTCTCCTGGGAGCTAAGCCAAAATCAACAGCAGGGCCCGCTCCCTCACCTATGCCCGCGAAGACACAGGTGCACGCCGGTGGAGGAGTGGAGGCTCCAGTGAGCTCCACTCCATGTCAGCCGGAGCTCTGGTCCATTGCATGCAGGGATAAACACCATGCAGTACCTCCTTCAACCCTCTCATCACCTCCGACCATCCCAATGACCAGCAGGTTTGATGTCCTGAGCAAGGAGGATTTCCCTCCTCTGGGCGAGAATGCCCAACAGCAGCAAGCAGTAAAACCATCCTCCATTCACCGCAAGCTGCTGAAGGAGGCTGTCGCACAGAGGAGCTCTGGGAGTAACACCAACCCTGTGACAACTGGACCCTCTGCTGCTGGTAAAAGGTGCTTCTCGGGACTACAGAGCACCCTGGAGCCATCCAGTCCCAGTCCAACTCAGAAGTGTGTCCATGAGGGCCTGGCCCAGAGCCCTGCTTTCTCCCGGGCGCTCCACGGAGGTCTCCTTCATCTCAAGGCCATCCTGGACGACTCGGGTAGGATAAGCGCAACAGGGGCATAGCACATGCTTCCCTGGCAGCTAGACAACTGGCCCCAACAGCGGATTCTCGGGTGAGTCCTCTGTCTCACTCCTCTGGTGGTGATGTGTGTCCTGGGCCACCTCATGTGTCTGCTGCTTGTCCCTCTGTCCTCGTTGTTGGATCATTGATGGTCCGCCACATGCAGATTAACAGGTACACTACTTCATACCACCCAGGTGCACTTGGTGATGATATTAAAAATGCACTCCCCCTGCTCCTACGTCACCACTCCTCTGTGTCCACAGTGGTGGCACATGTAGGATCAAATGATTTGCACCTTCAGCAGTCTGAGAAACTCAGAAATGATTTTATTCAGTTAATTGACAGTATTCTTGATGTGGGGAAACAGTGCGTAATCTCTGGTCCGTTTCCCTCCCCCCGCTTTGGTGACGTTAAATTCTCCCGTTCACAACAACTTCATATCTGGCTTAAGGACTACTGCTGCAACAGGGGCATTCCATATGTGGACAACTTCACAACATTTTATACAAGAACTGATCTCTTTAAACATGATCGACTCCATCCAAATTACACCAGATCCCGTCTTTTATCATTGAACATCGATCTTACTCTGCACTCCTGCAAGGCTTTTTCAGCAAGCACAATTCCATAACATGCTCCACCTACCCTATTCCTGTCATCAGCACATCCAGAAAGCATTCTGGTCACTCAAAACCACCCTCAGGCATTAATCTGCACAATCTCAAATTTATAAATTTACATAACCTCCCTGCTGATCCCCTCAAACCTCCACAGAACACACTGAAAATGGCACTTTTAAATGTAAGATTGCTTTTAAACAAGTCTTTTCTCATAAATGACCTTATTTTAAATGATAGAATTGATTTTATGTTTTTAACTGAAACATGGCTTAGCACAGATGGACCTGTGACACTGATAGAGGCCTCTCCACCAAATTATGAATTTTTGTATTCTTTTTGACAGGGCAAAAGAGGTGGGGGGACAGCTACAATTTATTTAGCACAGCATGGTTTTATAAACATTTTATTTGATGATTTGTTATCATTTGAACACCACTCCTTTGTTTTTAACAGTCCCCCAATACTTTGTTTAACTATATACAGACCACCTAAGCGTTGCACAAATTTTATCACAGAATTTTCAGAGCTGCTCACATCTATCTACGTAAGGTTTGAAAGAGTTATTTTAGGGGATTTTAATCTGCACGTTGACTATCAATCAGACTCTTTTAGCACAGAGTTTTTAAACCTTCTTAATTGCAGGAATTTTGTGCAACATGTAACACAGCCCACCCACAACAGAGGTCACATTTTAGATCTAGTAATAATCTATGGCCTATCAGCTTCTGTGACCTCTGTTGTGGACATTGGCTTGTCTAACCACTTCTGTGTCTTTTTTAATGTAAAGGATTTTAAACGGCAGGAAATTCCGGTGCGCACTGTCAGGAAGCGCTATCTTACTGCTGAAGTGGCTGCAGATTTTATTGATATCTTAACTGTTATCCCCCCAGATGTTTTACCTTCCTCTTGTCATTTTTCTGTTGAAAATTTTAACAGTAAACCTAAATCAACACTGGACACTGTGGCACCAATGAAAACCAAGAAATTATCAACAAAACCAAAGCTTCCCTGGAAAAATATATATATAACCGATCTAAAAAGAAACTGCAGGAAAGCAGAACGGAGGTGGCGAAAGGAAAAGTTGAATGTTTATTATGAGATTTTCAGAGAACAACTGCATATCTACAATAATGCAATGCGGTGACGTCATGACCAACATGGACGCGTGAATCACCTTCTCCGCTGAGCCCACATGAAAAATTGCCCTAAAGTAAAGTAAAATTAGCAAATGACAAGGGAAAGCTACCGAAATGGCTACGGAAGAATGTTGAGAAGTGGAAAATCGTCTGGGAAGAGCTCCAACTGCGAAAAATCTAAAGTAAGGAGACCAAACACAAGGCAGTTAAAACAGACGCAGCTAAAGCTAGCCGGGCTAACGACACAGGAGGAGATGGATGGAGCTACGGCTAACGTGAATGCAGAGTCCGAGATGCTAACCGAGACAAGAAAGCTCCGGCAGGAGAACAGTAAGTGCCATGCAGAAACAAAAACCTCACTGAACAGACTGGAGGCATCCGTGACTGAAATAAAACAGAGAATGGACATGCTAGATAAGAGAGTGACCACAGCAGAGCAAAGAGTGAGTAATGCTGAAGATGCTAGCTTGCGACATCAAAGGGCACTGTCCTATCTGCTACAGAGGGAGGCTTTCTTGGCTGCCAAATGTGATCAATTGGAGAACCAACAACCTCGTGATAGCATAAGACTATACGAGATTTCTGAAGGAGCTGAGTCAAACGACATGTCCACTTTTATAAAAGAATTCCTATGTGCAAAAGTGGAGCTAGATGAGGAGCTGGAAGTCAGAATTGCAAGAGCACACAGATCTCTCGGGCCTAAACCAACAGATCCATCTGCACCTCCCAGATCCATAATTGTCAAATTTCTGGATCATGGTGTTAAGCAGACAATCCTGCATCAAGCATGGAAACAAGGAAATATCCAGCATGATGGAAAGAAAGTTATCTTCGATCATGACTACTCACAAAGTCTCCAGAAAAAGAGGAAAGCTGTGTGGGAAGTGATTAAAAAGTTGAAAGATAAGAACATTAAAGCCCGCACAATCTACCCTGCCCAAATAAAGATAGCACTGGACTCAGGAGACAAGATCTTCCCCTCTCTGCTGGATGCACAAGCAACACTGAAGGACTTTGGAGTTGAAGTGGACGTGGACGAACGAGACCAAGTCGAAAGGGAACTGATACCGACCACTTGGAAGACTCAACGTGGGAAAAGAAGGAACAGTAGGCTAAATCTTGAGGATGTCAAGTCCATCGTGTACTAGGTCAGCTAAATGGAATAATTGACATTGTTTGATCCTATCTGCTGATGCTGGAGAGGACAGTGAGGTACTTGGCAACATTGACACCCACAATAGGGCGTCTAGGAGGACAGTAAGTTATCTGAATGACCAATGTGCTATAGCTGGATCATTTGTTCGTCATACTAAGACTAAAAACAAAAAAAAAGAGGAAAAACATGGGCATTAGTTATTGAGAGATACTTGACTGGGGGGAGTGCCAGGGGTGGGGGACGTCAGCTGAAGTTGTATATTTACTGATGTCAGGCTTCAAGCCTAGACACGTTTTTTGTTACTCTAATGTTTTTTGACATATGTATGTGTATGTATGTATGTATATATATGTGTGTGTATGTATGTACACATATGTATATATGTATATATATATTCTCGCTTCAAGGGGGACAACAAAATAATGACAGTGGTTTTGTGTTAAGATGTTTAAGTAAGATTGAGGGATGGAGGGGATTTCGGCACTCTCCTTACTATGTCATCTAATTTATTTCTAAGTGGGTTTAGGCGGGTGGGGGGAGCCCTGAAGGCATGCTCTGTGAGTAATGCAACTTAAACAACGCGACAAAGAGGATATCCGGTGGAGGTCCGTTGTAACTGCACTTAGTGCAACTTTGATGCCCAGGATGCTCCATCAGTGTTTTTTGTCTGGTGTCTCTGTTTTTTGGATGGAGCATTCTATGGGGGTTTTTGAGGTCTACCATTGTTTATTAGGAGACCCTTCTTTTTGTTTTTTGTTTTTGTTTCATTTAATTTTTTCCGGCAAACACTCAAGGAAAGGACAGGCTTTTGAATTTAATCCTACTCTCCCAGGCATGGCAGAAACACCGTGGCATGGCCGTATAAATTTTTTTTTTGATATACTATGAGCAATTAGAATTTTGTTACCTATAATGTAAAAGGGATTAATAATCCCATAAAGAGAAAGAAAATCATTAGTCAACTGAAGAAGCTAGACTGCTCGGTAGCATTATTACAGGAGACACATCTTGAAGATAAAGAACACAAAAAACTAAAAAGAGAATGGATTGGACAGGTATTTAGTGCATCATATGATAAAGGGAAAAAAAGGGGAGTGGCTATACTGTGTCATAAAAAGGTGTGTTTTGTGCCAGAAATAATACATGATGATGGGAAGGGAAGGGTTATCTTAGTGGTCGGTACAATTGGAAGTATGTATTTGACCATTCTAAATTTATACGCGCCAAATGAAGAAGACCCCAATTTCTTTAGAGAGATTGCCTCATTACTAGCGAAAAATGCAAAAGGAATGATTATTGCAGGAGGGGACTACAACGCAGTCGTGAACCAGCAGATTGAAGGAAATCCCTCCGTGGCCAGCCCAAAATCACAAAAAACAACTGCACTATGTGGTGTGTTAGGGGAATTGGGATTAGTAGATATCTGGCGACTAAAACATCCAAGGGAAAGAGACTTCACTTTTTTTTCGAGGGTTCACAAAAGCCACTCCCGCATTGATATGTTCTGTGTCTCAAAACAAGATGCACATAAAATAATTAGCTGCCATATTGAACCCATAACTATCTCAGACCACAGCCCAGTGGTTTTGACAGTAAACATGGACTCAGATAGACGTCACAAATATTGGAGATTGAATGTCTCCCTATTGAACAACCCAGAAGTGGTACAAAAAATAAAGGCTGAAATTCAGAATTATTTAGAACTGAATGATAATGGAGAAGTCTCCCCATCTACCTTATGGGAAGCAGCAAAAGTGGTGATAAGGGGCAAAATAATAGCCATCTCCTTGACCCTTAAAAAGGATAGGGAGAAAAAACAATTACAACTAGAAGAAAATATAAAGGAACTAGAAAAGGAACATAAAAGAACAGGTTGCGAGGAGGTTTTGCGAACTCTTGACCAGTATAGAAGGGAATTAAATGATTTGCTGACATTCAAGGCAGAAGGTGCATTATGGTTCACTAATCAAAAATACTCTGAATCAGGAAACAGAGCGAGCCGATTATTAGCGTTCCAACTGCGCAAGGCACAAGCAAGCAGGACGGTGGCAAAAATGGTAGACCCGGTTTCTAACAGTTTAGTTTCACACCTCAAAGATATCGCAGGAGCTTTTTCTGCATTTTACAAAAAACTATACGACTCCCCAATGGTTGAGAATAAGGAAGAGAAAATTAGAACACTAATGGGGAAAATCTATTTGCCCAAATTAAGCGAAGAAGAGTCACGATCTATGGTAGACCCAATTACAAAAGAAGAAATTGAGGATGTGATAAAAAGCTTAAAAAACAACAAATCTCCAGGAGTAGATGGCTTCCCGGGGGAATTTTATAAGTGTTTTGTGAAAGAGATCAGTCCCCTTTTACAGAGGGTATTTCATCATGCCCTTGGGGAAAAGGAGCCTCCTAAGAGTTGGTCAGAGGCAATTCTCACTGTGATCCACAAAGAGGGGAAGGATCCCACTTTCTGTGCCTCATATAGGCCTATAAGCCTATTATGCAATGATGTGAAGATACTGAGCTCTATTATGGCTAGAAGAATACAGAAGTGCATCACAAAAATAATCAACCCAGATCAGACAGGCTTCATGCCTGGACGTCAAGGAATACATAATATAAGGAGAACATTGAACGTAATATCTATAGCTCGTAAAAGTAAACAAACCTCTATGCTCCTGAGCCTAGATGCGGAGAAAGCCTTTGACAGACTAGATTTGCAATACTTGGAACATGCTTTGGACAAAATGGGATTTCATTCAAATTTCATTGACTGGATCAAAGTTCTGTACTCTGATCCAGTATCAAAAGTTAGAGTCAAAGAGTGATAGAGTGATCAATTTAAGTGGAGGAGAGGGGCAAGACAGGGATGCCCACTATCGCCGTTGCTCTTTGCGATAGGCATAGAGGTTTTAGCAGAGCTAATAAGGGGAAATCCGAATATATCTGGAATATCAAACAGTTGCAAGCCACATGTTATATCATTATATGCAGACGACGTCATTCTATATGTTAGTAATCCCTTAGAGTCAATCCCAGTGATTATGGACTGCTTAGGCGAGTTTGGTACAGTGTCGGGATACAAAGTCAACGAATCTAAATCAGAAGCAATGATGCTGGTCGGGGAGTTCCCACCCCAGTTGGCGGGGAAGCTCGCATTTAACTGGTCACCCCAGGGTTTTAGATACTTAGGGATTAAGATAACACCAGACACTTCAAAACTATACAAAGCCAACTATGGCAGATTAATAGACCAAATAAAATCGGATCTGGCACGCTGGGAGATTCTCCCGCTTTCGTTGTTTGGCAGGATTGAAACGATTAGGATGAACATTCTACCCAGGCTGTTGTCTCTTTTCCAGGCATTGCCTGTCTGGATTCCTGAATCCGTGTTTAAATCACTAGATAAAATGATGTCTACATTTTTATGGCAAAAGAGGAAACCAAGGATCAAATGGAAAATGCTAAATTACCCAAAAGAACAAGGAGGACTCAACCTCCCAAACCTGAGACATTATTACTGGGCGGCACAGCTGAACGGAATGGTTGAATGGATAAAGCAGGATAACGATACAAACTGGCTAGACCTGGAAAGAAACTCATGTCCAAGGGTTCCTCTTGAGTCATTACCCTCTTTGGAGTTAAAAAAGTGGAATAATCTTAAATTGAATAACGAATGGATGAGTTGTACTTACAAAGTCTGGTCTTTGGTGAGGGAAAAATGTAAGATGTCTTTATCAATATCAAGAGCCACCAGAATAGATAAGAACGAGGAGTTTAAACCAAGCAAACTGGACTCTGGGTTTAAAGTATGGATAGACAAAGGACTTGTCACAATACACCAGCTGCTTGAAGGGGATTCTATTAAATCATTCAAAAAGTTATAAGATAAATTTGGGTTGGATACAAAAGACTTTTACAAATATCTACAGGTGAGAAGCTATTTACTTTCAAATAAGGACTGGGAGACTATCAGGCGACCTCCGACCCCTCTGGAACTATTTTTGATTAGGACAACAGATGAGAAAAAGGGGAATAAAGTTATCTCACAAATATATAGCTGTCTGCAGTCCCTCACCTCAGGGAATACAATGGAAATAAAAGCAAAATGGGAAGTGGAAATGACTGTCAATATAGAGGACGAGGAATGGGAGACAGCCTGTGAAGGAGGTCACAAAATCACAAACAGCCCACAGTGGAAAGAATTTAATTGGAAATTAAAAATGAGATACTTCAGAACACCTTCTATGATATCCAAATTTGATAAAAACAGCTCAGAGTTGTGTTGGAGGGACTGTAAGCGGATTGGTGACCACACCCATATTTTCTGGGATTGCCCTAAACTGAAAACATACTGGGAGGGAATACGCAGAGAAATATTGGCTATTCTGAACATAGACTTGCCACTAGATCCAAAAGTGTATATAATTGGAGCGGTTCCAAAGGGGTTCGCTAGTAAACACGTATTACACATTCTACACATTCTCTTACTGGTTGCAAGAAAGATGATCACCCTATCATGGCTGCGACCATTACCACCTACAATCAATCAATGGCATGAGAGGTTGTTAAAAGTATGTAATATGGAAAAGATCACTGCGATGCTTCAGATGAAGTACGACACATTTCTAAAAAACTGGGCCCCACTGATACAATACCTTAAGCTTTCTATATGAGGGTAAACATACAAGCTATGCTAACACTGAGCAAGACAAAGTTGTAAACTCCTAATTCGAAGCCTGCCCCATGTGTATTCCCATTCAAAGTATCAATTTACTTAAAATGTTTGCCGTGTTTTTTTTTGTTTTGTTTTGTTTGTTTTCTGTGCGCTAGTTTTTCGTTCTGTGTCGATGCTCTATGTTCTTATTATTATTTTACTGTGGTTTGTTTGCTTGCTGAGAGATGTCTTATACTTTGTAATTGTATTGCAACATAACGGCAAATAAACACCTTTGTTAAAAAAAAAAAATAATGCAATCAAACAGGCTAGAAGAGACCACTTTTCAAAATTAATAAATGAAAATCAAAATAACCCACAGAAACTTTTTTTCAACTATAGACCGTTTAATCAACCCTGTTTTTAACCAACCTTATAATTCGAACCTGTCAGGTGACAACCTTGCAGTCCACTTCAGCAGTAAAATAAGTTTTATCAGATCAAAATTTTTACTTTCTCAGCATTTTAGTTTTTATCCCTCAAAACCTTTGCTTTTAAATGAGGAAACACTGGAGAGTTTTGTCCTGGTTGATGCTTAGATGCTTGAAAAAGCTTTTAAACAACTCAAAACCACTACCTGTCTTTTGGACCATATCCCAGCATCCCTTTTTAAAAGCTTTTATGACTTTTTCAAGCACGATTTTCTTACCATTTTAAATTACTCTCTTCAAACAGGTGTATTCCCCTCTGCTTTTAAAACTTCTTCTACTAAACCTATTCTGAAGAGAAGCAATTTGGATGCATCAGTACTTGGTGACTATAGTCCTGTATCCAATTTGCCATTTTTAAGTAAAATTTTAGGAAAGATAGTTTTAAACCAGTTAAATGATTTTATCAATCACAGAAATATTTATTAAATTTATCAATCGGGTTTTAGGAAAAATCACAGTACAGAGACTGCGCTAGTTAAAATTATAAATGACCTCAGGTACCACATGGATAAGAAGCTACCAGCTGTTTTGGTTTTGTTGGACCTGAGCAGCTTTTGATACAGTTGACCATAAAATTCTTTTAGATAGACTATGTAATTTTATTGGCATCTCTGGCACAGTTTTTAACTGGTTTGAATCTTATCTTAGTGACAGACAATTTTACGTGAACCTTGGGGATCGCTCATCTAAATGTTTTGACATGAGGGTATGGTGTTCCCCAAGGTTCCATTTTCGGCCCCACTCTTTCTAAACTTTATATGCTACCTTTAGGGAATGTCATCAGGAGGCATGGCATCAATTTCCACAGCTATGCTGATGACACACAACTTTATGTTGCCGTGTCTCCTGATGACACAGGGCCACTCAATGCCCTTTTTAACTGCATTTTAGACATTAAATCATGGATGGCTGAGAACTTTTTACTGCTCAACCAGGACAAAACTCAGGTTTTAGTCATTGGGACAGGGGACAAGAAAGAGAAACTGGTCAGCAAACTCAAAGCATTATCGTTTAATCCAAGTCAACAAGCCAAAAATTTTGGAGTTTTATTTGATTCAGGATTGAGCTTTGAGCCTCACATACGAGATATCACCAAGAAGGCATTTTATCATTTAAAAAACATAGCCCAAGTGCGACCATTTCTCTCTCAAGGCAATGCAGAGACATTAATTCATGCTTTTATCATTTGTAGAATAGATTATTGTAATGCCCTCCTTTCTGGTCTCCCCAAAAAGAAAATTTCACACCTGCAATTACTACAAAATTCAGCTGCACAGATGTTAACAGGGACCAGAAAGAGAGATCGTGGTAGAGGTAGTAGAAGAAGTAGTGAAAGTAGAAATAGTAGCAATAGTAGTTGAAGTAGAAGTCAAAGTACTAGTTTAATTGATATTAGCAGTAATTGTAGTAGAAGAAGTGGGAGTTTGTTTGAAGGTTTGAATAATGCATGAATAAAAAACTAATCCAAAACAGGGAAAATTTAAATAATTAAAAATCCTCAAGTATTAAAAAGTTTTGAAGTATCAGAAAAGGTTTGAGTCAGTTTGAATGAGGTTTAATTTGTTTGAAGAATTGAACAATGCATTACAACTGAGTGATTATAAAATGGGGAAAATTCAAATTAATAAAAATCCTGAGTACACCCCATAATGTCCTCAATGAGCTGAAATTTTGAAGCCCTGAATGGTTTCTGTAGTTCAAAGTTTGTGGGAGGAGATAGGGGCCGAAGTTTGTCAAGCGCTCTAGTAAAGGTATAAAAATGTAACCCCCAGTGCTCTGTGTACTGAGCCTGGCTTCATGTGTCTCATATAGCCATTAGAAGCAGCTTTCCAGTCAGCTGTGTGTCTCCAGATGCGCTAATTGGTTGCCATGGGGAAGGTAGAAGCATCACTACAGAAGGAGATAGGAGGCTTGAAGCTGAGGAAACAGCTCTCCAGCTACATCCTAATGCTTTTCTTCTGTAACTGCTGTATTCCTAATAAGGAGCTTATTAGAACCGCATGATTCTGTTGAACACGTTGATACAATTAATTAACAAAATCCTGAATACATCCCATAGTGTCCTTAATAAGCTGAATTTCTGGAGCCAAGAATAGTTTCTGTAGCTCAAAGTTTGTAGGTGGAGATAGGTGATAAAGCAGACTCATGGTCAAAGTGTGTGCATGTAGATCTCATAGACAGAGAGACACTCACACACATATTTACTGTGTGTACATGCAGGTGTCACAGACAGAGAGAGACACACGCACACACATTGTCAGAGTGTGAGTGTGTGTGTGTGTGTGTATGTGTGTGTAACTGTTTATCAATGCATCCTAAACAGATCAAAGGACCAACTAACCAACATTTTGAATGAGAAGCTGCCTGACTGCAGTGAATTTAGGGCCTCTGAACTTCTTCACATAGCACGATTTCCTTAAATCTTAGAATGAAAATAAGAACATCATAGGAATCCTGAAACCTTAAAGAATACAATTATGTGTTTTTCATGTCTGGTTTAGATAGATAGATAGATAGATAGATAGAATTTTATTGTCATTGTGACCATCACAATGAAATTAAAAAGTGCTATTACAGTCAGTGCATTACAAAAAGAGACAATAAAACATTAGACAGTAATATCAGTAAAGCCAGTGCAGAGTTAAAAGTAAAAGAACTAAAACTGCATAAATACATAAGCAACACATCATCTGGCTTTCATGGAGGCATTGATGGAATGAACAGTATTTGGGAAAAAAATGTTTTGCAGTCTTTTTGTCCTGGCTTTGATGGCCCTGTACCATCTGCCTGACAGCAGTGGCTCAGACAGGGTTTACAGAGGGGAGTGTATACAGGGATGAGTTGAATTAAGTTGTGATCTGACTTGCCCAGATGTGGAGCAGATCTGGCCCTGTAAGATAAGATAAGATAAGATAAGATAAGATAAGATAAAATAAGATAAAAAGAACTCCCCGAAGAAATTCAATTGTCTGTCGTCTCACTTGTCATGTCTCTAAAAATCATCTACTATTTACACAACAGTTATGTAGCCCTGCTTGATGTTAGTGTAGACCTTGTAGACCTAGTAATCAAACGTTGAATCAGTCTCAAACAGATTTAAATCAATCTCAAATCTGAGGCCGGAATTCTCATTTCAGGGACTTCACTTCTGGAAGGACCATTAAGAGACGACAACTTAAAATAAAATGGACAATTTATTGATGAATGCTCTATGATAATATGACTTCAATAAATGATGATCAAATAATAAAAAAATTAAAGAACATCTAATGAATAAATGAAAGAATGGTTTGAACTGAAGCTAAGACTGGAGGTTAATGATAGTGAGTGAATAAGGAAAAATTTAACCTACGTTAACGGAGTTACGAGAATAAATTTTGAAGAGGAATTTGGAGAAACTAAACTATAATAAGAAAAATAAGCTACTGAACGCTTGACAGCATCACCCAGTTGATACAGCAGTTTCAAGGAGTTTGCCTACTTATTTTGATGTCGGTTCTCAGCGGCACTCTTGGAATGGATGGGCTGAAGTTCTTTGGCTACCGGACCGGATGCTGAAGGTTTGGCGAGGAGTTCTCAGCTGTAAAATTACAAGACGATGGACAGAGACAAAAGCGCTAAGACGTTAAAACAAGAAGAGGGTGGAAAACACCCAAGAGTCCACAAAACACAAGAAGCAAAAAACAAGAGAGAGGGTGGCAAAAGCTTAGCTTTTTTAAGCAGTTTACGTGGAGCGTGAACCAAAAGAGTGGGGGCACTCATGCACTCTTTCTTCTTTTGCAGGCCCATCGGCTGGCAGCGAATTAAACTTAACTTGCGATATTAAAAGTGAAAAAAATTTACTCACTATGATTAAAGCCATTTATAAAATCACATATGATCACGTTTCACTTCACTTTCTCATGAGCAGATGCATCAAACCATAACATTTAACGTAAAGTAAACTTTGATCAGTCGTTTTCTTGATAATCTGTAACCAGAGGATTAACGACTCTGAAATTTATAGAGGGATAGAAAACCAAATTATCTTTTCATACAGAAACACCATCAAGCATAAGAAACACATACGTGATAATACTTAATAACAATATAACCTTGTCAATCAATACTTAGTAAATGATTAACATATATATTCTGGTGAGGTAGATAAAAACATAAAAACAACCTTAAAAACGTTTAAACCACTCTTAACTCAAGTATAAAAGAGTTTTCAGTTACTACTTCTAAAATTGCTAACCTATCATGAGAATACCATTTACTAAGCTACAAAGTATATAAAAATGCACATAATTTGTGAAGTTAACAGTTTGGCTTGTAGACACACAAGACAAATGGGACAAAGACTGTTTTATTGATGATGTGGTGTACAGATAGTAAATCCTGGTGAAGTGTCCATTAAACCAGAAATTAAACCATTTTCAGCCATTTTCTTCCTTCTGCACCTAGAGAGAGTCACAGGAAAAACACAGTCACTTAGAGAATTTATGGCAGGGGTCTGTTCCACGGATTGGCGCCAAACTGCAGCCTTGGAGAGTTTCTCATGATCTTTTGGGTCAATCCTGAAACTGAGGTGTCCACTATGAGCTATCCCAGCCAAGGTGAGAGGCTGAATGTTTATTTGGTCTGGGAGTCCGGCCGTTGATAAGCAACTTGTCTCTTTGAAGTGGAAAAGATTCACCATCAGCCTTTGGGAGAGGACCCCTCGGTTCTGTCCTGGATCGTAAAAGGCCATAACTTAGATGTGAACGTTATTCCCATCTCCTCTCCTAATCAGGGGAGCCTGCATTCCTTAGTGGGTGAATTAAAAGTGGAAAAGCAGAAACCAGTCGTCTCTGTTACAGAGGGCAGAGCTAGCATTAGCATCTGGTGGAATGTAAACAGCCATTAGCAGGACCCCAGTAAACTCCAGAGGAAGGTAGTATGGCCGGCATTTCACTGTCAAATATTCCAGGTCAGGGGAACAGTGACTGTCCATTGTTGCTGTCTTATTACACCAGTCGTTGTTGATGTACATACACAAGCCACCTCCTTTGCTCATAACGGAGTCGCTAGTCTCTCTGTATTATCTATAATTGTTGTAATTTTTGCTGGATTTTTTTCATATTTTTGTTGTCTTTTTGTTGGCTGCTGATGGATACTTCTGCTGGGTGAATAGTTTACTCAAGAGAAGCGCTTCTTTCATTAAGGAAAGGCAAATCTGGATACAATTCCAGAGGACATAAGGAGGTGTTATTGTGGTTGCTGTGCTGGTGCAAAGGTGAAGGCAAAGCTGATTGCTAGGAGGTGGCGATATAAACCCTTTTTTCCATCAATCATCATGGGAAATGTCAACTCTCTGCCCAACAAAAGCGATGAGCTGAAGATATTGGTGAAGACTGAGAAAGCATACCATGAGTGCAGTCTCCTGTGTTTTACTGAAACCTGGTTGAATCAAAACAACTCTGACTCCAGTGTGGATCTACCTGGCTTCACTCTCATAACGTCAGACAGAGATGCTGAAGCTAGTGGCAAGAAGAAAGGAGGTGGTCAGGCTTTATTTGTCAACCAGAGATGGTGTAACCCTTCACACATAACTGTCAAGGAGAAGTTGTGTTGACCAGATATTGAACTGTTGGCAGTTGCTCTCCGGCCATATTACATTCCAAGAGAATTCAGTCATATCATAAAAATAGTTGTTTACATCCTATCCAAATCAACCGCAGATACTCCATGCACTCTTTTGCATAATAGTGTTGCCAGGCTACAGACCTAACACCCGGAGGCACTAATAGTAATATCAGGAGACTTCAACCATGTCATCCTCTCCCCTCACCTGACTGGATTTACACAGTTTGTGAACTGTCCTACCAGAGAAAACAAAACCCTGGATCTGCTGTATGCCAACCTCAAAGAAGCCTACAGATCCACTGCCTTACCACCACTGGGCAAGTCAGATCATAACTTGGTCTATCTGCAAACCTCTAACAGACCTTGTGTACTGAGGCAGCATGTGACCAAAGTCAAAATCAGAAGATGGACACCTCAAGCTAGTGAAGCTCTAAGGGACTGTTTTAAATCAACAGACTGGAATGTGCTGCTGGAAACAGATGTGGATAGTATGAACATTGACAAACAGGTTGACTGCTTTACTGATTATGTCAACTTCTGTAGAGTTACACAGTTATGCCCACAAAGACTGTTCGCTGTTTCCCCAACAACAAACCCTGGATCACAAGAGACATAAAGGCAATCCTTAACCAGAAAAAGAAAGCTTTTAAAGATGATGACAAAGAACGACTCAAACAAGTGCAACAAGAGTTGAAGAGGAGACTGAAGATGGCAAAGCTGGAATACAAAAAGAAGATACAGAGGAATCTACAACACAGCAACATCTGTGAAGTGTGGAGAGGAATCAGTACCATCTCTGGACACAGCAATAAAAAAAAGACAGCCAGTGGTGGGTGATCTGGAAAGAGCTGATGAACTCAACCTGTTCTTTCACAGATTTGACACTGCTGTCACACCCACTTCCACTGCTGCTCCATCTTCCTCTCTGCAACAAATCTCCACTACAACTTCTCCCCTTCCTCCTCCATCTCATTTAAATGTCTCAACCACTTCAACTGCCTCCCTCCTAGAACACCAGTCCTTGTCTTTCACAGAAACAGAGGTGAGGTTGGAGCTTGGAAGACTTTGCCCTGGGAAGGCAGCTGGTCCAGATGGTGTATGTCCAAGGCTGCTTAAAGACTGTGCTGCAGAACTGTGTCAGCCTCTCCACAAGATCTTCAACCTGAGTCTACGGCTGGGGTGGTTATCTGCTGTGTGGAAAACATCCTGCATTGTGCCAGTACCAAAAACAAAATGTCCTGCTGAACTCAATGACTACAGACCAGTGGCCCTCACTCGACACATCATGAAAACCCTGGAGCGGCTGATTCTACGCCTTCTAAGGTCTGAGGTCAAAGACAAACTGGATTCCCTTCAGTTTGCAAACAAAGAACACATTGAAGTAGATGATGCTGTCCTCTACATGCTTCACCATGTCCTGTCTCATCTGGAGGAACCTGGGGTTTATGTGAGGATCATGTTCTTTGACTTTTCAAGTGCATTCAACATCATCCAACCCACCATACTCAAAGACAAGCTCACGGAGATGGGAGTGGATCCTTCCTGTGTTTCCTGGATCACAGATTACCTGACAGGAAGGCCAGAGTGAGGAACTGTGTTTCTGGGACATTAATGACCAGTACAGGGGCTTCACAAGGGACAGTGCTGGTGCCATTCCTGTTCACACTGTATACGTCAGACTTCAAATACAGCACTGAGTCCTGCCACATCCAGAAATACGCAGATGACACTGCTAATCGTTGCATTTATCAGAAATTGATAAGAAGCTGAGTACAGTGATCTGATAAGAGCCTTCAGTGACTGGAGTCACAAAAACTGCATCCTCCTCAACACCTCAAAGACAAAGGAGGTGATTATAGACTGCCGTAGATCTAAACCCTCTCTTCAGCCAGTGAACACCCGTGGAGTGGGCATTGAAGTGATTACATCATATGAATACCTAGGTGTAGATCTGGATAATAAGTTGGACTGGTCTAAGAATATAGACCTCATCTACAGAAAGGGGCAGATCCGCCTCTTTTGCCTGAGAAGACTCCGATCTATAGACATCTGTAGTAAGATGCTGCAGATATTTTACTGGTCTGTGGTGGCAAGTGTTCTGTTTTGTGCTGCGGTCTGCTTGGGAGGAAGCATCAAACACAAAGATGCAAGACGTCTGAAAAAACTGGTGAAAAAGGCTGGCTCTGTGGTTGGATTCAAGCTGGACTCAGTGGGGGATGTGGTGGAGAGATCTACACTGAGGAAGGTGGAGACTATTTTAAAGAACATGAATCACCCACTTCACAACACCTTGATGGACCAAAGGGCCAATAGTGGTGGATGGCTCCTCTCTCTTAGCTGCAGGACAGAAAGATTCAGAAGATCTTTTGTACCCACAGCCATTAGACTGTACAACTCTTCTGTAAATAGTAGATGACTTTTAGAGACATGAAAAATGTGACAACAGACAACTGAATTTCCCTTCAAGGATTCATAAAGTTCTTCACATTCTTATTCTTATTGTTAGTCCTGTCAAGGCGGCATGTTGTGTATCATGCTAGCTTGATCCCGGATTCCGGGATGGATGAATGGAGCCAAGTTTAGGTAAGGAGTAAAACACAATCCTTGGTGAAGTTGTTCGACGCTGCATTTTGTTGGTGAGTGATTTCACATTTGCGAGGGAGAGGCTGGGGAGCTGTGTTTTTTGTGGCCGCTTCCTTAGCCGGGCTAGGGCACCCGCCCTGCATCCCTGCTTCTGTTTACGATCCCGGCGTCGCTTACGTCTCCACTTCGCTGGGATTGTGATCCATTGCGAGCAGGCGTCCCTTGATATGAACTCTGGGATGTTGTATGAACGGGCGGATTCTGCTGTGATACTCCTCACCCACATGACTCCGATATTTAACAGATCTGTTATGGACAGTAATTTGTTTTGAGTGTTTTCTTTATGTTTATTGTTTTCTGTGGTAAAGTAGCAGTTTAGTTCGGCGATGACGTCACTTCCTGCGCAAACCGGAAGTTGTCGCAGATCGGGACTCGCAAACAGGCGGCCGACAGGGCGTTTATGGAGTGTTTTCCTCATTATCCTCCGTGGTTTCACAAGTCTGTTAAGACGCATTGTCTGTGAGTATGTGTTTATATGGTTTACATTGATGTTAAGAGTGAATTATTTGGCGATTTATGTCTGAAACTCATGTCTATTTTATAATGTTTTGTATTGCAGTTTCACACTGGTTCAGTAAAAAGTCAAACAAGTCCCGGCTTCAACTGCATTTATTGAATCACGTGTTTAACTGTCTGGATAACCGCTGGTGAGACCAGTACAGTGTGTCTTGGGGGAGCACACAGACCGGCTCAAGTGAACACCTTCAAGACCACAGTTTTGGAAAATGGCCGTCCCACTTACCTTGAACCATGTACCAGCAAGGTCCAAGTAAAGGAGAACTTCAACTCCCAGCCCCTCAGTACAGCCCAAATCACAAATCGGTCTCTAACACATGCCGAGAGAGTCTGGGCGAGTCAGTCTTCCATCAGTCTGCCAAAGACCATCAACTTGGACCATCTATGGAAGATTGGACCTTTCTTCAGTTAATGGAAGAAGAGTGTTATCAAGATAGTTCTAACAGTTGGGCTGCTCCTCTGCCCTTTCGTTCGCCAAGGAGACAGCTGCCCAACAACAGAGACTATGCCTGCCGTCGCCTCTCTTCTCTTTGCCGAACACTAGAGAGGTGGGCGATGAAGGCCCAGTACCTTGAGTTCATGAAGAAGCTGCTCGACAACAACCATGCTGAAGTTGCTCCACCACTTCCTGCTGGCCAAGAGTGTTGGTATCTTCCATCGTTTGGGGTCTATTATCCCAGGAAGCCAGAGCAAATCTGTGTGGTCTTCGACTCCAGTGCTCCTTTTGAGGGAATATCTCTGAACGATGTGTTGCTTTCTGGTCCTGATCTCAACAACAGCGTGCTGGGCGTCCTCCTAAGGTTCAGGAAAGATCTTGTGGCCGTCACCGCAGACATTGAACACATGTTCCATTGTTTCGTGGTTCGGGAAGACCACAGGGATTATCTCCGCTTCTTGTGGTACCGCAACAATGACCCAAGCCAAGACATCATAGACTACAGAATGTGCGTGCATGTTTTTGGTAACAGCCCATCGCAATCTATGGTCTCAGAAGAGCAGCCAAGCAAGGAGAGGGAGAGTTCGGCAGTGATGCCAGACAATACGTAGAGCGAGACTTCTATGTGGACGATGGACTACGGTCTTTCTCTACAGAAGAGGATGCTATCGGTATCATCAAGCGAGCTCAGAAAATGCTTTCCATGTCTAACCTTCGGCTACACAAGATAGCTTCCAACAGACTTGCAGTCATCGAGGCCTTTCCTCCCAAGGACCGCGCAAAAGAAATTAAAAACCTGAACCTTCTCACCAACGATCTCTCTTTACAGCAGAGCCTTGGAGTGTCTTGGGATATTGTTACAGACACCATTCACTTTTCAGATCTCAGACGATGAGAAACCATACACCAAAAGAGGAGTTTTATCAATGGTCAACAGCCTGTACGACCCTCTTGGGTTTCTGGCTCCAGTAACCGTACGAGGCAGACTTTTACTCAGAGAGCTCTCCAAGCAAGCCGAAGACTGGGACTCAGCACTCCCTCACGAGATGGAAAGGGAGTGGACAACATGGAAAACCTCCCTACAAGATCTTCAAGAGCTGCGGATACCACGACCTTACTCATCGTTCCCACTCTGTAATGCTCAAGACAAAGAGTTATTTGTCTTCTCTAACGCCTCTGTTCAAGCCATTTCAGCAGTGGCCTATCTGAAACTAACCACTGAATATGGAAAGAGTGAAGTCGGCTTTGTCTTCGGGAAGGCTAGATTGGCACCCCAACCAGAGATTACTGTCCCAAGGTTGGAGCTATGTGCGGCAGTCCTCGCAGTTGAAATTGCAGAGATGGTGGTGGAAGAAATGGATATGAAACTCGACCGCATCACTTACTTCACCGACAGCAAAGTCGTGTTGGGATATATTCACAATCAAGCAAGACAGTTCTACGTCTTTGTGAATAACAGAGTCCAGCGGATTCGACAGTCGTAATCCCCAGAACAGTGGCGATATGTTCCCACAGAACACAACCCCGCAGACCATGGGTCCAGATCAGTCACTGCAGCCTCCCTGAGCACCACAACTTGGTTGACTGGACCAGCTCTCCTCCAGAAACCTTCACCGCACTTCTCCGAACTTGAAGAACCCTTTGACCTCCTCAACCCTCTCACCGATGCCGAGGTACGTCCATTGATCACAACCACTGCAAAAGATGTCTTGAACGATGTGATGAGCACCAAGAGGTTTGAGCATTTTTCAGCATGGAGCACACTCATGACAGCAGTTGCACGCCTGATCCACATAGCTCGTTCATTCTTCAATTCCACACCAGACAATGCCTGCCAAGGCTGGCACATCTTTCGTGCAGGTCCCACTGAAGAGGAGCTGGAGAAAGCAAAGATCTTCGTGATCAAAAGCGTGCAGCAGGAGTGTTTCCTCAAAGAATTGAACTGTATCGCTAGAGGTAAGAATCTCTTGTCTCAAAGCAGTCTAAAGAAGCGGATGATTGGGATCGCCCGCCGCATCCTCGACAGTATGCTCCTCCAGAATATACGGGCTCGTCTTACACATGAGGTGCTGACAACGTTCATGGCTGAGGTCACAGCTGTGATCAATTCAAGACCCCTCGTCCCTGTATCTTCGGACCCAGAAGCACCATTAATTCTGACTCCAGCCGTGCTGCTGACCCAGAAAACCGGGAGTCCTCCTCCTCCACCTGGAGATTTTGGGAAGGTGGAACTCCTCAAAGAGGAATGGAAACGTGTTCAGAGTCTAGCAGAGACCTTTTGGAACAGATGGCGGCGAGAGTACTTGAGCACACTACAGTGTCGACGCAAATGGCAAGACGACAGGAACCAGTCTGAAGGAAGGCGACATAGTCTTGATGAAGGACAACCAGGTCAAAAGGAACGAGTGGCCGATGGCCATCGTCGTGAAAGCCTCACCAAGCAAAGACGGGAAGGTGAGGAAGGTGGACATTAGGATTCCTAAGGATGGAGCGCAGAAGGTTCTCTCTCGATCCATCACAGAAGTGGTCCTCCTGTTGTCTCCAGAAGACTCCAAGTGAAAGGCGATGTGAAGTGGGGTCATTCGGGGACCCCAGGCGGGGAGTGTTATGGACAGTAATTTGTTTTGAGTGTTTTCTTTATGTTTATTGTTTTCTGTGGTAAAGTAGCAGTTTAGTTCGGCGATGACGTCACTTCCTGCGCAAACCGGAAGTGGTCGCAGATCGGGACTCGCGCGAACGGGCGGCCGACAGCGTTTATGTGTTTTCCTCATTATTCTCCATGGTTTCACAAGTCTGTTAAGACGCATTGTCTGTGAGTATGTGTTTATATGGTTTACATTGATGTTAAGAGTGAATTATTTGGCGATTTATATCTGAAATTCATGTCTATTTTGTAATGTTTGGTATTGCAGTTTCACACTGGTTCAGTAAAAAGTCAAACAAGTCCCGGCTTCAACTGCATTTATTGAATCACGTGTTTAACTGTCTGGATAACCGCTGGTGAGACCAGTACAAGATCCTTCCAGCTGTACGTGATTTTCGCTCGGCAGAAAGAGGTGAAAACAAGCAGGATGTACTTAAAAAAAACCAAAGCACTGAAAGTAAGAGCGTCGAGCCACTGCATCTGTGCGCACCGCCATGGCAACAAGAAAACAGTTGTAACCGTGTAACACTTACAGTGTGTGTAAATGTGTGTAAAAGCCAAAAGTGAGTTTTATGATGTTTCACGTCCAAGTTGGATGCTATATTGTGTTAATGTATTGTTTACCAGTAAGTTCAACTCAAATGATTTGAGGTTTATAAACTTATATTTTTCAAGTATGAAAAATTGTTCATTTGAGTTCAAGTAACTTAAATATGTAAAGCCATGGTAACTTGGTCACTCATTCATCTTTTTAATTCAATTAAGTCAATAAAAATTAAATCCTTCACTATTTTGTACTCATATGAATCATTTTTCCACACTCATAACTTAAACTAATCTAGTCCATACAAATCCTTCCTTAGTCTTCCACTGCAGCAAATTGTTAGATTCTAGTTAAAACAACTAACAGCTACTCAATTCAACCGAGAAAACTGATTGCCTTTAAAAATTTAATTTGGAATAACTCAATACAACACAAGTAGAGAACAAGCAAACAATTTATTAGAATAACAAATGCAAACATTTGAAACCTAGCATTTTTCATAAAGCAAACACATTTCTTATAACCTCACATCGTAATGCTGACATTATTTCCCTCTATGCCAAACAACAAAAATGAAACGTTGTGTGGCTCAAGTGAAAATTTTCTCCAAAAAACAAATAAACTCCTGCACACTGTTTCTCTCGAAACAGAGGAGAAAGATTTGTTCACTCTTTGGTAAAAACGTGAATATGTTATCCAAACAGGAATGAAAGAAATCACTAACAATGTGATTGTAAGCAGGAAAACTTGAACCTCCTACTCAAGCTCATTTTTAGAGCCTGTAAAGTAGGTTCAAGCCGCTTTCTTCCATCAGTTAGATTTAAGAGGACAACCTGAATAATCTCAAAGAAGCTGCAGAGCTTTTCAGGGTAGGTCAAATGGAGAGCATAGTTCAGCCCAAACTAAATAACCACTGAATCTGGTCAAGACCTGTGAGTCATTACCACCTGATCCTCCAGAACGATCGACAAATGTGCAGTCTCAAAGGGAACTCCAACAGGCACAGCTTCTTCATTCACAACTGCCACCAGACCCACTGCTGCTTTTGATGCCACTGAGTCATCCTAAAAATATGACAAGGATTAATGATTAATAAATGATTTTAATCCTTTTTATAAAAAAAATGACTTACATTTTTACATTATATCTATAAATTGTAGCGATTTGAATTTATAATAAATGTCTGAAGAGTAATCTTCAATTTTGACATTTATGCACTTGTTGAAGGGGCACCAGCCACCTTTCTGGTGGGAAAAAGACTAAACAAAGTTCAATTGAATAATCAAACGTTGAATCGGTCTTAAACAGATTTAAATCAATCTCACATCTGAGGCCGGAATTCTCATTTCAGGGACTTCACTTCTGGATATTGACCACTATGAGACGACAACTTAAAATTAAATTTAAAATTAAATTTATTGATAAATGCTAGGTGATAACATAAATTTAATAAATGGTGATCAAATAATGAGAAATTAAAAGAACATCTAGTGAATAAATGAAGGAATGATTTGAACTGAAACTAAGACCGGAGGTTAATGATAGTGAGTGAATAAGGAAAATTTTAACCTACGTTAACAGAGTTACGAGGATAAATTTGGCAGAGGAATTTAGAGAAACTAAACTATAATTAAAATTATAAGCTCTGAACGCTTAACGGCATTACCGGTTCTTCCAGGTGTGTTTGCCTACTTATTGATGATGGTTCTCAGCTGTAATCTTGGAGCGGATCACTGAAGGCCCAGGCTACAGATGGTCTTTGCAGGGCAGCTAGCAGCCGGCCAAACGGTGTCTCTGTCGTCACACCCAAATGCACGCCAAATGCGCCCTGTGGGTCCCGCAGCGCTCTCCTTCCGGAATCTTATGGCAAACGCAACTCGGCAGATGATGCAGGTCGGTCCTCCGGGCGTTCAGGATTAGCTTTACTGCAGATCAATTTGCGATAATAACTTGAGAAAATAATTTCGCTGGCCAGCCGATATTATTCTCAGGAGTCACTTTAGCGAACTAAACAAAATAAAAGACTAAGACTTTGGTACTCTATGCGCGCAGCTGATTACTAATGTTTAAAAGAACTTGGGTATGGGGTCATCCAAGTTTCTAGAAAAGTCTGAACTTAAGGCGAATAAAAACACGGGAAAAGTTACAAGACAATGGACGGAGACAAAACACACGAGACAAAAAGCCGATAAGAGCAAAGATGATAAAAAAGTGAAAAGAGTCAGCTCAGTGCTTGTAACCCATTTGATGTGGGGCGTGAACCAAAGGAGGGGGAGCTCGTGCACCCATTCATTGTTCACAGCAGGGGCTGATCAGGCTGGCAAGAGAATTGATTTTAACTTGATTAATAAGCGAGTTGGGTCTGATTTACTCACTCATTATGATTAATGCTGTTTATCAAATCACATATGATATAGTTTCACTACATAGTTTCTTATGAGCAGAGGCATCAAACCATAACATTAAATGCAAGGTAAACTTTAATCACCCGTTTTCCTGGTAGTCTATAACCTGAGGATTAAGAAGCTCTTTGAAAGTTAGAGAGGGATGAAAACCAAGTTATCTTTCTAACAGAAACACCATCACGCATAAAAAACACATATGTGATAACTGTCACAACGCGGTGAGGGGTGTCTTGTCCTGGTTTTCCTGTCTTGTCATTTTCATGTTTTATTTTAAAAAGTAACTCCCCTCTCGTTTAAGGTCACTTGCCCTTCCTTTTGTGTTTCCGGTCTGACGTCTCCCCTGATTCCTGATTGTTTCCACCTGTTCCCCATTAACCTCATGTGTCTTATAGTCGGCGTCTCCCTTTGTCCTGTGCCAGAGTGCCTCGTTTAGTCGTGTTCCTCCAGCCTTCATGTCCACAGCCTTGCTTGATAACCACGTTGGTATTTTTGATAATCCTTGTTTCTTCTGTAGAAGAGTGATTTTCTGTTGTAGTTTTCCCTGTTTAGTTTATAGATCTAGCTTCTGTTTCATAGCCTTGTTGCTTTTTCCTCCCTTTTGGGGTGACTTTAATTTCTTACAGTTTTTTCTAGCTTAGGAGTGCAGTGTAGATAAGTTTGTAGCCTCTTTTTGTTTCCCTCCTTTTGGAGCGTTTTTTGTTCATAAATTTTCATAGTTATTCCTCTAAAGATTAGAGAATTTGTCCTCCCTTTTGGAGTGAATTTTTGTTCAGTCTTGGTTTGTGTTGTTTTTGTGTTTTGTCTGTTTACCATTAGAATAGATATAGAAGGTTTTCATAGCCTATTTATTTATCACTCTATCTACTGAGTAAAGAAGACGATTTTTCAAAATAAAGCGTTTGTTCATCTTGGAACCTCTGCGTTTGAGTCCTCCCTTAAACCCAGGCCTGACAATAACACTCAATTGGAATATAAACTTGTCAATCTGTACTTAGTGAATGATTAAGATATATATTCTGATGAGGTAGGCAGCATAGCGTTAAAACAATCAAAACATTCTTAACTCATGTATAAAAGAGTTTCAGTTACTACTTCTCATATTGCTAACCTACTTTTGGAAAACCATTCACTAAGCTACAAAGTATATAATCATGCAAAAAATTTACACCTTGCAAATTTTGAAGACCTCAGATGCATCCTCCTTTAAGTACAGCACCAGGACAGCAAGGGCAGCTGTTTGGGCAGCAAAGATGTCATTCCTGTCCTGCTGAACAGACACAAGTTACGCATAACTTAGCTTGTGTTTTTTTTTTTTTTTTCCATAGCCAGCATCTGTTAAAACCACTTAATTTTTTTTTTTACCCGTTCTTTTTTTTTTTTTCTTTTTTCTTTCATTATTTTTTATTGATTTTATAGTTCAGCATGTGCACATATAACCACATCCCTAAGACAATAACATGGAAACAAAAGATGGTATACAAAAAGCAAAACACAAAACAAAAAGAGAACAAAAAAACAGCACGTAATACAAACAGCGGGCCAGCAACACTAAACTCTTTACAGTTTGCAGAACCATATTTGACAATAATGCAGTATAGTAATATTCAATCATTCCAACATTTCATTGGTTATGTCACTCCCATACAAAATACTTTTCTCCATTCTTCTTTTAAAAAAACAGCAATTGGTAACCAGTCTCTGACAAATTCATCTAAATTACCCTTTAAAGCATGGGACAGCCTCTCCATTGGCAATATAATCACAAGTTTTTCATACCATAAATTAATATTTGGCGGGTCCTCGTCTAACCATTTCTGTAAAATTGAGACTCGTGCAGCATACAAAGCAATTCTTAAGATATACCTATGCTGCACCTCATAGTCCAGATCTAACCCTAGTACCAAGTTAATTGGGTTTAAGTGTATGTTTATTTGAAAGACTTTTTGTATTTCCTTTTGAAATGATAACCAAAAATCTGAAATTTTTGGGCATGACCACATCATATGACTATATGAACCAGTGTTGGTTCTGCATTTCGAGCATTGCCCAGAGCAATTTGGGTCATATTTCATACGTATAGTTGGGGTTACATGCAGTCTGTGAATAATCTTAAATTGTGTCTCATGGGTTTTATTGGAGCATGTGATCTTCTTTGCATTTAGCAAAATCTTTCTCCACTCTTTTGTATCAACTTAGCATCCAAAATCCTCTGCCCACTTTGTCCTACTTCCAATATTAAGGGTATTGACAAACATTTGAGAGTATAAGTACCCAATCACTGTCCTATTCATGGCCGACGCTTTCAATACTATTTTTTCTAAATTGTTCACCCTCGCTTCATACTTGTAAAATGAAATCAACTGGATATAGCTCCTAAGTTGCAAATATCGAAAAAAATGAGTTTGAGGTAG